CTATAATTAAAGAGAAAAAGAATAAACGAAAAAGAAATTATTAAAGTAATTTATACTGCTATTAAGAAGAGATGAGAGTAATTTCTAGGCAAAATTCCGCTTTCAATCTTTAAATTTACTTGAATTTACCCTTTAATATAAAGGTATTCGATAGAAAGGATAGAGTATTCCGATTAGAAGCAAATTTTAATCAGATTAAGTATCGCCTTATAATTTATATAAATAATAATTTCGAAAAGATACTTTTTTATAAATATTATTATTAGATAGATAATCTCCGGGAGGTTTATAAAAATGCCTTTCCCTTACTTTATTTTCATTATTTCTTATTCTCCTTTTTTAATAATTACGAATAATATAAATAAAGTACTACCTGCCTTCTTCTATGTACTTTTTAATTATTTAATATATTTTTAAAGAGAAACTCTATCCGCACCGCTATGAATCTCTTACTACACCGCTATCTAAAATCCAACTAAGTATAACTTAGCTAAACTTAAGTATATAAGTACAATAGTAGTATCATTAAATCCGTTGATTTTCGTTTTATATTACTCTACTACTGTTATTATTATCCATTTTCCCATTCCCAATTACGGCTAAAAGATCTCAATTTGAAGTTAATTAGTTATATTTTTGATACTTTCCCGGCTCCTGGAAACTGTAGGGGGTGCACAACTACAGCATAGGTGTTGTTAGATAGAGCAAAAAAAGACAAAAAATATGAGCCCTTTTACGCGTTGTAAGACCCGACGTTGGTAGAGATACTTTGGAACTTAATTTGGATAGCGGTGTAGTAAGAGATTTCCGGCGGTGCGGATAGAGTTTCTCTTACTTTAACTCTAAATTTAATTTTCGCTTTAATAAGAGTAAAAATTCAATTTACTGTAATCAAAATAAAAGCTAAATCTAGGAGCAAAGTAATAAATCTACTACGTAACTCTAATTAGAACGAAATTACTATACTTTAACGCCTACTACGTTTACGCTAACTAATTCCAAATACGTAACGCTTAATAAAGTAGGACCCGAAGACTGGGGTCGTAATTGTAAAAACGTAGGAGAATGGGAATAAAGTAGGCTAAATCGTATTATCCCTACTATATACTATATTTTTAATAGATTCGTTTTTATAATTACCGTTTTAAATTATATAATTAATAACCAATAAGATTCTAATATACTCTATAAAGAGTTACATCTATAAATATTTAAATACTCCTTATTTTATAAGAGAAGTACCTATACTATTAAATTAAGTAAGGTATATATTAAATCGGCTACTCTAAATATAACTATAGTACGTACAATTTATTAAAAGATCTCGGGCAGTAGAAGAACCGTATAAAGCATTTAAAAATCGACATTATATTTAATATAGACCGAATTAATACGCTCCGCAAAAAAGTCTTAAAAATATACTAAAATAATACTTACCTTTAAACCATCAATCAATAGGCCAGGCTTCTTCTTTAACTTTTCAAATAACTATTCGACTCAATTAAAATAATAATTATATTTATTATAATACATAGTACGTATATAATTAATATAATTAATACGGCCTTAAAAGACGTTAAAAATAATTTTGTACAAGTATTTTATATTCGTAATAATACATATTTTAGGATGTTTTATAATTAATTTAATGCTTTTCGTAATGTTATATTTAATTTACTTTTTCGGATAAATAGTCCCGAATATACCGAAATTAGGGTTTATAATAAACTTGGGACATTTCGATTAATTAAGTAACTATGATTAAATTATATTAAATATTATATCTATTATAAATGATAATTCGGATTTATATATTTATGAACGGTTATTATCGAAATACGCTTCTAGCGGAAACTATTTCTTAAAAATATACCCAAGCCTATCGAAATACTAATAAGGTATAAAAAAATAAATAATCCCTTCTCTACTACTACGGATAGCGCGACCGAAACGCTATTATAAATCCGTAATATCCTAAAATATAACCTCGCTATACTATATAACCCGGGTAATATTAAATATTTCTATTCTTATCCCTAATATTACTATAAATATAATAATATAATATTAAAATTCGGAAATAACGAATTATTAATAAAATCATTCCTAATCCGGAGGTTAAATATAAAAATAACAAACTTAGACTATTAAAAGCGTATTAGCTCGGCTATAGATACTATACTTTATTAAAACGCAAATAAATTCTTCTTCGCCTTATTAATTAACTCCTTACTATTAATATAAATAATCATTTTTAATGTAGTAATTCCTATAGTAAGGATGAAGAAGAATTCGAGGCGTTTAAACTTCCGATTTTCGCTAAGCGGAATACAATTAAAAATAATACTAATATTAAGTCGGTTAATAGAAGCGCGGATAATCCAAAGGGAGTTTATAAATTTCCCAAATTAATAAAAACCGGCGTATTCCTATATATATGATTCGGATTACTTAATTAAAATAATTATATATCCGAACTATAGGACGGAAAGAAAAAGGGTCCGACGGAATTAATAAAGATCGGAGAACTTTTTATAAAAATTGTACTATTAGTAAATTATATAAAATTTATCTATAATTACGAATACTATACGAATAGCGAATTTAAGGGCGCGTAAGAATTTAAAAAACCGGTAATAAAATATTTGTTCAAATCCAAAGAGAATATACGTAACTTATTCTAAACGTATATACTCCTATAATATATTAATCTAATTATATTAATAAAGAGTTTAAAAATAATAATAAGTATATTATATACTTTATAGAAATTTTAGTTAATAAATAATAATTTAGCGCCGGGGTACTTTATAATAATATCCTTCTATTCGTAGCCGAAACGGCTAAATAATATAATTTATAATGTAACTTTTATTAATAAGATAATTAATACTACTTAAAATATAATATTCTTACTAAAATCAATTACTACTATTAGGATAGTATTATTATATAAATAAATAATACAACGGATATACTTAGCTTATTCCGAGCAAAATTAACGTAGAATTTAATAAAATGTTAATTAAACGATTAAGTTAAATAAAATTGGAATAATAATATATATAAACCGAATTTAAAACTATTAATATTCGTCTAAATTCGTATATTTAATAATAGTAATTATATATTACTATGTAATTTTGCTTAGAATAAATGAAATAATAAAATTAGAACACATTTTAAAATATTAAACGAAACTAAAAATTTTATCGAAGGTAGAATTAAATTAAACTATCATCGGTACTAAATTTTAAATAGATTCGATATAGAATAGTAGAGATGCGATACCTATTTCTTAGGATAATAATTACTATACCTAACGAATATACCCCCTAGGGGATACTTAATTATAAATATAAATTATAATAAAAAAAAGAAAAATATAATCAGGAAGTTCTAATTTATATAAAGTATAATAGACAATCCGAATTTAGATACGTATTATAATTATTAAGATAATCACGAGTAATTATTAAATAAATTTTTTGTTTATATAAGGATTATTGCGGCTAACGGCCAAAACGTTCAAAATTATCACAGATCTCTTCTCACTTTATTCGAAGAGACCCACATACAATGTAGGGCGGGGGCGCCCGGGGGGGGGGGGGGGGGGGGGGGGGGGGGTGAGAGAGGTCAATGTAACAGAGACTAAATGGGAAAGATCGGATGATTACGATGGTTGTCTGGTTGTCAAATGGAAACTCCAAGGCTGACTCGATGGGATCAAGTAATCTCTTTTAGGTTCAGACCAGTGGTGCGGGGCAAGATAGAGTGATAGCCGCAAGATAGGACCGAGCCTTGATAGCTTATTTGCTTATCTCTGGCCTTTTAGCGGGCACTAAGCCCGATCGAGACCCTAACCGATAACGGATTGACGAATCACGATGAGGGAATTGAGGGAAGCTGGGTCCGGTCTAAGCTTGATCAGTGTGCCACGCCGTCACCAGCGGCTTTTTTTTTTGTGCTCTTTCTCAGCAACGTGCTTCTTTGCTCGATTGGACTGACTGACGCTAAGTACCGTCGCACGTCGCTACCGTTGGATGCCCCGCGTGGCCGGGTTCAGTCCAAAATCATCAATGATCTTCACTGCTTCTGATATCATCATCTGCAACACCTTTTTTTTTTTTTTTTTTTGCCTCGAGTTCCCAATTCCATCACAAAGACCACAGAGCACCAGAGCTGCCCTTAGTTCTCTGCCTCAGCGGACAGGGCTTCCAAACACCCCTGGACCTCATTCTCCCCTTCTCCAGGACACCCTAGTCATGCTAGCGTGGCGCTGCGTGGGGGCTCGACTCAGCTTTTCCACATCGACACCATCAAGGTGTCTGGTATCCGAAACGAAACAATCCACTCTGTATTGGAAATAAATACACTCGCGGGCGAGCGGGACCATACGGACACTCTCCCGTTTTTACCCCAACCGGAACTAAAACAAAGAAAGCGCACTTTGCCGCACATGGCATGCATGCAGGCAGGGTAGGCCTATCTTTGCAAGATAGTGTTGCATTGCCTGGCCTGTGTCATGTCAATATGTCAGTCAGTGGTACCTGACAACCACCACTGCATTGCAGAGCATTGCAGAGAACGTCTTCGATGCAGATAAAATCAAGCTGTTGCCCCCTTCCCATCCAGCCCCTTCTTGTCTGTCAATATCGAGTGCAGGTTTGCCACCTTTTACACCCGTCGAACGCCAGCCCTCCAACAGACCAGCTCCAGTCCCTTTCCATCTTCCTGTTCAAATTCGGCAACATTCCGTGCTCCACCCCGGTTAGTCGTCGAGTCAACAAATCGATAATCGATACCGAAAAAGCCAAGTGAGAGCCCCTGCCTTGTCTGCTTGGAAGGAAGGCTACCATCGGTGCCAATCAACCGACCGAATCTCAATCGGTCTTCGCTCCCTCCACCCGGTCTCCGTTGGCGGAAAAAGACGAGAGTCGACGTCGTCGCCCAACCCTCTTTTTGCCCGGGTAAAAAAAACTGCCAAAAAGGCCCACGGCCCGCGAGAAAAAGGGGGAAAGAGAGAGAGAAGTTCGTGTGTTGCTTCGAGAGAAGAAAAATCTCGTGCTTCCACCACCGAACCACCGCCCTCCATCGCCTCTCGTTTCGACGACCACGCCGCCAACTACCTAACCAGCTCAAGTCCTCTCACCAACCAATCATCACTAGAAAGGAAGGATGGCAGAGAAACGCAGCGCCGTAGGACGCTGGTCGGACCGGCTGGCCGTCGAAGCCGAGCCCGGGCTCACCACAGCCCAGTTGATGGTGCGAAACCTTGCCTTTTTGCCCTGAGATTGACATCACAGAGACTCTCCTCACTCGATCTCATCGCATTCGCATTCGTTTGAATTGCCGCAGCCCAAGACTGACACTTGCCGTTTTCCTCACAACAGTTGACGAACCACGACCTGAAGCCCGTGGAGGCTGAGCGTCGAACATGGGGCGCTTGGAACTTTGTCGGCTTTTGGATTGCTGACTCGTTCAACATCAACACCTGGATGATCTCGTCGTCCATGATGGTGAATGGTCTGTCATGGTGGCAATCGTGGCTGTGTGTTTGGATCGGTTATGCCATCTCGGCCTGCTTCATCTGCTTGACCGGCCGCATTGGTGCTATTTATCACATTGGTTTCCCCGTCGCCAGCAGATCCTCCTTCGGCATCTGGGGTAGCTTGTGGCCTGTCCTCAACAGAGCTGCCATGGGTATGTGGCGCTCACTCCTTCCCTCATCTCATGTTAATTCATACATGACGAATCTTCTCATTTCATGAGTGCCCTTTGCTAACCTTGGTGGAAATAGCTTGTATATGGTATGGTGTTCAGGCTTATATTGGAGGTCACTGTGTCTATCTCATGATCCGATCCATCTGGAAGGCCTGGGTAAGTGATTCTTTATATCAATCTCATAAGATCATGTTTATTCTAACTATAGTATCCAGGACCGTGAGACGATTCCCAACACCTTCTCTCCTACATCAGGCACCACGACAGCCGACTTTGTCTCTTTCTTCATCTTCTGGCTCTGCTCATTGCCCGCCATCTGGTTCCCTGTTCACAAGATCCGCCATCTGTTTACCGTCAAGGCCTACTTCGTCCCCTCAGCCGCCATTGCCTTCATGATCTGGGCCATTGTCCGTGCCGGCGACATTGGCCCCATCATTCGCCAGCCATCTTCCTTGAAGGGCAGCGACCTTGCCTGGGAGTTCGTCAAGGGCATCATGAGCTCGATCGCCAACTTCGCCACTCTCATCGTCAACGACCCGGACTTTACTCGTTACGCCAGGAAGCCCAAAGACGCGCTCTGGTCCCAGCTCTTCACGATTCCTACGGGCTTCGCCATCACTTCGCTCATCGGTATTCTTGTCTCGTCCTGTTCGTTCACGATCTACGGCGAAGCTGTTTGGGATCCGCTCGACCTGCTGGAGAAATTCCTGGACGATGGCAACTCGGCCGAGCGCTTCGGCGTCTTCGTCATCTCTTTCGCCTTCTCGCTCGCCCAGCTCGGCACCAACATTGCCGCCAACTCGGTATCCGCCGGCGCTGATCTGACTGCTTTGTTGCCTCGCTGGATCAACATTCGCCGCGGTGGTTATATCTGCGCGGCCGTCGGTCTGGCTATGAACCCCTGGACCCTCCTCACCTCCAACAACCAGTTCACCACCTACCTCTCGGCCTATAGCGTCTTCCTCTCCTCGATCGCCGGTGTCATTATTTGCGACTACTACATTGTTCGCCGCGGTTATCTCGAAGTCAAGGAACTCTACGATGAACGCAAAACCGGACCCTACTATTACACCTGGGGTATCCACTGGCGCGCCTATGCCGCCTACATTGCCGGTATCTTAATCAACGTGGTCGGGTTTGCCGGAGCGGTTGGAAGGAAAGTTCCGATCGGAGCCACCTACATTTACAACGTCAACTTCTTTGCCGGTTTTCTCGTCTCCGGCGGCGTTTACTGGCTTCTCTGCCACTTCTTCCCCATCCCGGCCGTTAGCGACAAGTGGATGGAAGTTGGCGGCAGGTTTGAGGATCTCAGGGCTGCGTACGACAGCGACAGCGCGACCGGAAGCGGCCATGAAAATTATGTTGATCCCATGGCCGGAAAGCCCTACAAGCTGGGCGCGGATGACAGCAAGATTGTCTAGGAACGCAAGACATATTTTTCTGCGGATGTTTTTGAGCGCACACTACTCAAACGTTACATACTCACACTCACAAACAAGAGAACAGAGTAATGTGGTTGGTCTTTTTTTGCATAGACAAGGCTTCTTCTGATGAACAGATGACAGGCCAGGTTTGGCTTTGTAATGACTCCTTTCTTTTTTGGGTGTTTGGATTTGGGATTGGAAAATACCACGTACGCGGAATAAAGCGCAATGATAGTAATTAGGCTAGGCTTAGGGGAGAGCGTTTTGTTTGTTATTTTTGGTTAGGAATACCCCGTTGGTTACGATTCACGACTTAATGAGTTATGAATAATGAATAATGAAGAGATAACGTGTTATACGTACATACTTTCGTTCGTTCTTTGCATTGTGTGTGTGTTGTGTTGGTTGCGTGTGTTTGTCATTTGTGTACTGTGGTTTGTTTATGTGTTTATAAAATTCACTGTCTTTTACCCCTTTTCCCATCAAAAACGCATCAAAATCAAATGATGGAAATATCAAAGGAATCATATAGGTATCGCCAACTTTCTATCATTTTCGAGCATCAATATAATCCAAGATCAGACATCAAACTCTCAAAGATGAGTTCAGCCTCACACTGTGTCATGTCCACTTACCCACCCAGCGACCCTCTCACCACATTAGCATTCATCACAGAAACTGCTTATTTTCACTGGGTATTCAAAATTGGAATAAGTGACTCGAATTAACAGTCAACCCGAAAAATATCAAAGCATCGATAGTTGGTCCATCATCGCCATACTTCCATTCCCAGCTTTGTGCCGTATGGCGATCTTGAACTACGACAGGCAAAAAGTGTCATAAGCACTTCCCATCTGAGAGTTAGGGTCAAAGCCGCCATTACCCGCCGACGACCTTCATACATTTCGCTCGCCCATTAATACCATCCAAGACGGTAGGACGAGACAATTGAAACATTGGATAGTTCCTTCGCTCTTTCCCGATATTCAAATACTGCATTGGCAGTCGAGAAGCCCCTTCCTCGTTGCAAAATCGTCGAGTGATCTTGGGGCAACTGGCTCTTGGGGCATGTTTGGGAAGGCACATCCAGACTGCACTTGGGGTCTTGGCGGGTGCGCCTGTGACGTGCCCGCGCAATGGAAGATTGGAAGGTGCGCATCGACATCATTTGTCGCCCACCACCTACCGTGTCTGAGCGTGTCTAGCTGAGCACCCAAAATTGGCGGTTATGGCCACTTGTTGCACTTCAGTTGGAAACTTGAATCTAACGAACAGGTTGCGCATTATGATTTAACGATTTTCAAAAGCAATCACATCTTTCAAACCAAGGCCCAGGCTCAGTTCCTATTCTCCAACCCGCTAGCTGCCCAGTTCTTGCACGCCCTCTGCATCTCCGCCTCGGCCCCGTTCTTCTGATACACGTCCTTGATCTCCTTGGGCTGGCGCTCGAATGATGCTCATCGCGAAGCCGTCGTGCAAGTGCCACTCAAAGTGACAGTGCAGTAGCCACAAGCCCGGGTTATAAGTATATAGAGATGTGAACTTGTGACACATGTCACGCCTTTGACGTTTCTTTGATTGCTTCCCTGGTGTCCAACAGAAACTGGGCGAACATGAGTGTCTTGGCATATTCATATTGGATGAGGCTCTTGATACCGAAGGGTCATTCTCGTGTTATATGTGTTCTGCCGTTTATTTCGTGAAGAAGATACCTAGGAAAGAGAAAGAAACTCGAAAGAAATATGAAAAAGTCACCTCATCTAGCTCGCTATGATCGTTCAGATCATGGCGGAAGAACAAAAAGTAGCGCAAGATGAAAGACCAGAAATAGAAAGACTGCGTAATAGAGAGGCAAAGACATGAACTCTGATTTGTGGCCCTGCTCACTCGTAAAAAAAATCCCCAGGCTTAAACCAAAGTTATGACCCTGGCCTCCGGCTCACTCTCCGTACCTGCTTCTTGCCGCCAATCTGGCTTCCAATGCCTCTTGCTCTCTTCAGTGTCGTCCTTCTCTAAACGATACCGCTGTGCCAAGACACCAATTCTTTCGTATATTTGCCTTGCCTCGTCAACACAATGGAGTACCAACCCCATAAAGTGCCCTGTTCGGCCTATGTATTTCATCATGCGCAAACAGTAAAAGGTTGGCTCTGCCGGGCCCGCAGGATATTCCTCCTTGAGCCAGTTGGCGAATTTGAGCCAGCCATAGTCGCACATGAAGAAGGGTTCGGGATAGGGCTCGATGTTCTCGGCCCACGCATCCTTTTCCATTGCAAGTAGCTGTTGCCACCCAATTGGAACAATAATACCTTGGATGCGGAGTTCGTGATACCGCCTCTTCTCCGTGGATGGTGGGGGCTTTTGCCCGTCTGCTATTCTGTCCTGTCCAAAGGGTTCGCCGATAGGGGTTATCAAGAAGGCGCTATCCGGGTAGTGCTGGTACGTGGGGGGAGAGGGGGAGTCTACTGCCACCTCCTCACGAAACTTGGCGTATAGGATAGACATACGAGGCCCCATAGGATTCTTGTTGTTCAGCGAGGCCCATGACCATGTCGGAAAAAGCCACTTTTCGCTGCTCCATTTGGTCTTGATGGTATCAGGACGAACTCTCAGTCGCTCGTGAAACTCAGGTATTGTTCTCCAGAGCAGGTCCTTAGCGAATGAGCCCGACCAGATTCCGCCGAAGTAGCGCTCGCCCTGCCTCCAGTGCCGAAAATATTCAGCAAGCCCCTCAATTGCCGTAAGTCTGTCGCCCAAACAACTAAGGTTGGTTCTACAGGCGTAGCCAGAGACCAGCACATGCCATAATTGAGCCCATAGAAGTAAGTTCTCTGACTGAGTACCAGCCTCGTGTTTGGTATCTCTCGCCGGGAGTTTGACGAAGGTACTAGAGGTAAGCCCCAAAACTTCCAGCTAGTTCTGATGCGAAGAGTACCTGTATTCATTCCAACGACACTGGCAGGATATGTTTTCTCGACAGAGCCACATAGCCTCCCGACCTAAGAAAACCAGAGTTCGTGGCGACACAAGGGTCTCCTGATAAACCCATCCACGAGAGAGGAGAGGATGGTACACATGATCGTGATGATACTGTTCCTGCGCGTAGAGGGAGTACGGGGTACCATCGGGCATAGTACCTTTCAGTTCGACAATACGCATTGCGGCAGGAGCCCATAGACCTTCCCGGCAATTAGTGAAAGCCAAGGCACCCAGAGTGACATATGAACCAGCAAAGACCGCGCACATGGAGGCGGACTCTCGCTCCCAGTCTTCTCTCACCACCTTGGTGTGACTTTCCGTATCTTTCTTCGGGTCTGCTTGGATGATGCACAAGGAGTCGATTCACAGATATGGGACGCCAAGGCTTCTAGTCAACTCGATCGCATCTCGAAATGTTGGTGGGAAATCGTCAAGCGAGATACCCTCGCTCATATACTCTTCGAGATTGTGAACCGTGAGCTTGGTATTCATAAGACCCGGATCACCCCAGCAATGACTGAGTGTGATATATCTTCCACTTGCCCCATTGGTTGCCATGATACGCACTTTATCAGGCGCATAGCTGACATCAACAACGCGGGTCGGAAGGCTCGACAAAGAGGTATCCTCACAGTTGCCATGTGTTGTGATACAGGCATCGAGCTGTTCAAGTATCCATTCATGACTCCTGAAAGGTCTCAAGTTCTGCATATAGGGGTTGCAAGATGATTGCGTTGATTTCCATGGTTTGCGAGGGAGTTTCAGTTCTGGCGAGCGTTAGTGTACAGATTCTGGCAGCTGAATTGGAAAGTAAACTCCTGAAATAGACGATTAAGCGCAGAACTCAACCAACAGGACGAAGTAATATAAAACAACTGACCTTTAGCATAAAAATAAAAGATTCCTGACCGATGCCAAGGTTGAGAGAGCGAAGGTGGCACATACAGATATACGTACATGGATCTAAGTTCATCGTTTAAGTTGAGCAAGTATATGTTCATCGTTCTAGGACGGAAACGGAATGTCTCATAGTTCAACAAGCTCTCAAAAGCATCACCTATAATCTTGCACGTCAGACACCCGTCCGCAGCCGACTTGTATAGGTCTTCAAGATCTCGTTCTCGGGTGACACCGCTCCGCTTTGTCAGCCCCTCACCGGGGATGCACATGCGACAAACATCACAGTCTTTGCACCAAGAAGACACCCGTGAGCTGACCTCGAGTGCTTTCGTCTCTGGGGGTGCTTGGGATGCCATGAATATAAAGTTGAGGCGGGCGGATGGTGAGGTTGTGTCGTAGCAGCCAGACAGACAGACAGACAGACAGACGATGAACCTTCCAGACCGCAACGAGAGAGAATCTTCACGCACACAAGACATTGTAGGTAGAGAAATGCATAAGAAACGTGACTTGCCTTGCGCTTACCTGAGTGGCTGACGAGCCATTAGCATTTTAGCCGATGCTACCGTACACCTCGAGAATCGAGAGAAGACCCCTCAGCATTAAAAGCCAGTCGCAGGCGAAAGAAATGATAGAGGTGCAAACGTGACGAAAAACACTGCAATACGTAGTGTAGTTGATCCGAAATCCGAAACCGGTAACCAACCATGGTAAATTTCATCCAACCCCCTCAGTTTGAAGCGACATAATATCACCAAAACAGGAGGCAAGATCGTGTTTTTTCCTCGAGTTGTCTTCGGATTTGAATAGTTTCCGCTCCGGTATTTTTTTTAAAGACGCTCCCTGAAGCTTCTATGTCGTATTGGAGGTCAAATTGATGATGAGATTTGATGACTGATTTGTCGACGATGCTCGATGTCTATGACACGAGCTGATTGGCGGAACTTTGGTGTATAAAAGTCTGCAAATCGAGATGCCATAGCGGACTACGGTTTTTGCCAAGGCGGAATACCGACTTCGTAGTTGATCCTGGGTACGGAGGAGGGGAAAAAGAAAGTAAGGCAGCTTAGAGATACTGGAAGGGGGTTGTGATGGTAAAGGGAAGCCCAGTAAATGGGTGATAAGGGCACGGACTTGAAGGGTCCATGGTAGGAGAGGATGGTGACGATGATGGCGTTACAAACCAAACAAGACGTTGATGAAAAGGAAGAGATCACAATCCCGAAATGTCTGTTGTTGTTTGTGGTGAGGGGTGTCACATGACTACATGAGACATGTGACGCCATTCTTCCGCTGTGTTATCGATATCCGATAAGATCAGTGTGCGATAAGCGGCAAGAGATCTGCGGGGCACGTCGAAGTATCGATGTACCTTACAAGGATAAGGCAAACAGGTCTTGGCATCCTCGAGCCTCTTGTCAGATGTGACGGTGTAGAATTGATTGATTGAAGAGTGTGTGTAACTGATTCGCCCAGAAGGTATAGGGGGTGTTGGGGTAACCCAAATATGCCCAGAAATTAGGTAATATTAGGTGGCTGGAGCGTTAACCTCTATATAGTATAGTTAAAACCACCCTTAAATTTAATATACCCCCTTACTTGCAGACCTTCCAAATAGGGTAAAAGTGAAACTATTTATAGAATTTCTCTTCTAGTACGTTAATTTCTCTAGCTAAATTGTGAATATCCTCCAAAATATTATCCGGAATCTCCTTATCTGTTCCTATCTCCTTACGAATTAGTATATTCGTTATTCTTATTAGTTCCTGGGATTTCTCGTAATCTAATTATTTTAGAACCTTTATTAATCTATCGGCTAGTATTTTCTTCGTTTCTAAATACTCAATTTCAATCCTTCCTTCTATAATCTCCTACCTTAATTAATAATAATAAATATCGACGTATTTCAATTTAATTATCAACTTCGTTACTTTAATAATTAATATACAAATCGTCTATATATTATTACAACCAATTACGGGTATATCCTTATCGAAGGGAATATTAATTTCCTTAATAACGTTTAAAATCGATAATAATTCTACTTTTATTATTAAAGTAGATACCGTCTTTTAATTAATTATACCTTAATAAACTAGATTACAACAGAATTTAATTATAAATTTATACGAATTCTTTCAATTTAGAGAGATATCGGCGTACAATATATTTGAGGCGATTTCAAATTTCATTAATTTATTATAATAGAAGGAAAGATTAGAGTAGTATTAAAAGTAATATAAAATTTTATTAGTAGCTTTATAATATTAAGGATTAGGATTATAATTATAGCGAATTAATCGGTTGGCGGCGAAAATAATATTAAACTGAGTAATTATAATAACGTATATTATAAAGCTAATAACGACCTAATATTCCCTAATTTGATTAAAAGAGGCTATACTATTATAAAATATAAACTCTTCGTTATTTATCGGAATAAAGGCGAAGATATAGGGATTTGTAATAAAAAGAAATAAATTAATTTACTTACGAAAGGTATTACGCCCAGTTTATTGATTAATTAACTAATATAGGAAAACTTTAATTAATTAATAAAAGAGTTATTAATAGAAGATATAAAGAAAATAAATAATATTTTTAGGTAGATTTTTAATAAATTATTAGAAATATATTAAGGGAGGAGCCTCCTTACGAAGAATATAGTAGATAAGTTGGAAGTAAGGATATATTAATAAAGAAACGATAATTAGAAACCGGGTAAAATTAAGGATATAAAGAGGATCTGAGAATTATAAGCGGAGGAATTTGAATAAATGTTTTAATTACAGATGGAATTATAGATAGAGGAGTTTAAAGATAGGGATTGAAGGATAATTTATTATTTTATATATATATAGATTTTAAAGCTCTAAAATTTCTTTTGTAGGGAGGTAATATTATAGGATTACTTGTAACTACCTTGTATATATACGGTTCCTACTATAGGCAGTCGAACTTCGTGCCGTGCTATTGCCGCTATTGGCCAATAGTATATTACGTGTATATATACGTACAGGTCTGGCTCTGGGTATGATTCAGCCCTACCCTATATCGTTAAATTTTTATATACCTCTCTCTTTCTCTTTTCGTATAATTACGTATATCCAACCTACCCCCTAACCGTCGCCTTGCCCCGTGATACCTCTTTTCTTTCTCGGCTATAAAGAATCTTTCGTATTTTTATTTACGCCGCGTTTCTTTCTTATATTTACCTTCTACTTTTTTTTACAATTAGAATTAGGAGCGTCCTCTTTATTAAATGTAAACTCTTACGAATTAGAGTGGTTAATACCCTACACGTTATAAATTATAGCCTTTTTAAAATTAATTAATAGTATAGTACGTTCTAGTATACTAACCCTTTTAAAATTAGCGGATATATCCTTATATTTTAAAAAATATTTCTTTGAATTTATTATTAAACTTCTAGGAGTTGCTAGCCTAAATAGGTTTATATTTACGGACTATATTAATAAAGTCGGTAAATTATAAAATGAGGGAGGTTATTTTACTAATTCCGAATCTCTTCCCGTTTATAATAAGGATTTCCTAATCGGATAATTACTTTTCGAAATCTTTAAGTTACTTCTTTATAATTTCTTTAATAAAGGTTTAATAATTTTAACGAACTTTAGCGATTTAGTTAATAGGTCGATAATTAATTTAACTCTTAATTTCTTTAAATTAATTACAAGTAGATTTATCCTACTCAAATAAAGTATCAGTATAATAGGCGGTAATATAAATATTCATCCAATTATAAATTCGGGTATTAGTATTGTCGAAAATTTTTCTAATATTTATAGCGAACATTATACATATTATTAATTTAATCGTACGCTACTTTCCCGGCTACTATTAAGTCAGTAAAAGGGTTAATAATTATATCCTCCCTAATATCCTACTCAGTACAATATTTATTATCCTCTTCTTCCTCTTCTTCATTTTCTTCTCCCAAACTCCCTTCTTTATTATCTTCGTTAACGCCAGCAGCGGCTTCTTTTTAAAATTAAATAATAATAATAATCTCAATAATAATACCGTTCGTATTAATAGCCGTAGTAATAATAGTTATTATGATTATAATTACGGCCTTCTTAACCCAGATTCTTCTATTGAATTTAACGAACTCCTTCTTTACCGCTAGAAAGCGGTCCTTTACTTACTTAATAAGGAAGAAATCTTCCGGCTTCGGGGGTAAAACCTTCTAAATTATAAATCTTCCCTTAAATAATTAATTATTAAAATCCTAATTACTACTAGCAAATTTCTTAAGAGCTTTATACCAATTAGGCCAATCGGTAGAGGTATTAAAGATAACCGTAATAGCCTTATCGGTAGATTCTTTTAATAAGAATATAGTTAACATTATTAGTTTCATAGAGATATTGCTTGTAATCGATAATCGTAATATTAAATGTGAATACGTAAATTAGATTATTAAGTATTAGATATGATAGTGTAGAATTAATAAATTGAAGAGTGTGTGAGATTGATTCGCCTAGAAGGTATAGGGGGTGCTAGGGTAACCTAAATATGCCCAGAAATCAGGCAATATCAGGTGGCTGGAGCGCTAACCTCCATATGGTATGGCTAAAACCACCCTTGAATCTGACACCTCTATCATACAAGTTTACCTAATTCGGTCTTCGATTTTCATCTTGAACCACGGTCCACTCGGCCGGACGCCGACCTACAAACCGACTTCAACCTTCGGGGCTCTACCGGAGAACATGCTTTCTGACCTACAGAAATCGCGCTCGTGGGTTACCAAAAACATGTCTCCACCAACAGACACCGTTCACAGCTTATTCTCTCCCTCGAGATGGAAATCGCTCCAACAATGGCTACTCCGGAACAGAGGTGCCAGATGCGTAGATGGATGCCCATCCCGACAGTGTGTTCAGCTCGCTCGAGGAGGTGCAAATGTGAAGGGCCATTGTCGACAAAGCGCGAAGAGATTCCATGGTGTAGGGATATACCGTGCTTCAAAAAAGCAGAACGTGGAGATCAACACTTCCAACAACCGTTGATGCTCGGCTTTGCCTTCCGTTGGACCAGCCTGTCCGGATTCAGGCCAAATACCTAAGTGATGGTCTAGACACCAAGCCAGGGACGCGGGCATCGTCAGTTGGCCTCATCTTTTACCGTTGTCGATCCAACGTCGTGGGTAGCGTTGGTGCCGGACAAGGGATGAACTGTGGAGACTGTTGGTAAAAAGGCCCCCAATCTCAACTTCACCTTACCCAAGCCGGCTGTGCCGTACATCGCTCGACAGTTCCGATTCAGTTCCGATTCAAAGAAATTGAGGTTTGTTGGCAATGGGCTTATTCAGGGCGGCCAGCTGTCACGAATGTGATCAGGATCATGGCCTTCCTACAGGTACAGGTGAGAGAAAGAAAGGCAGACGTCATGCTCTTCGACATAACACCAACAATAACACATTCTTCCGCGAGTAAAGAATCTTAGCTCTGTTTCTGAAGCCAACAAGTCATCATATGTCCAAAACTTCACGCCTCACGCCTTTGTAAAGTCCCGGACACGCTGGCAAACACGAATATCCAACACGACGATAGCCGCAACCAGCATTTGGAGTCAAGAGAACAATGACAGCACAGAACAACTTGGCATAACGGTTCGATTTTTTGAGGTGTGAGCCGTGGTAGGCGAGCCAACATCAAACCTCAATACAAGGCCGTAAGCGCTAGGTTGGTATTCCGCAAAGAGAGATCCCATGATGTGAGATGGGCTGTTATGGATGAAGATTGAGGCGAGCTGACGCCATGTTCCTCTTTGCTTCATCGCCAACATCATCGATGAAGTCTTTGAGAGCGCCTCGTCTCATGGAGCTCGAAACGCATAAAAACAGCGAGCCCTCATCGACAATACTGACTTTGAGATTTCTCGTCACCCAACACAACATCAGCTTAACACATCACCGCGCACACACAACGCTCACACTCGGTGAACACCAGCACATTGACCCTTTTTGACTCCTGACCATAGCTACTACATTCTTTGCTTGGAGCCCCACAGACATTTGACACTTGTATCCCTTTGTTGAACACGCTTGCAGAAACCCTTCTCTCGCTCCCTGGATCTCTGCAGTTCTTCGAGGTAACGCTACTCTCCTTAGCTGCCTACATTCGATCTACGACAAGCGGTACCCGTATTCGGTATTCATACACTCGACAACATGGCTGCTCCAGATCAGACTAGAAATAAAATCCCTGAGCTACTCCCGAAACTCCGCCCTTCTGGTGTCACTGACGATCAACCCTGGTGTGTCGTCCCCGCCATGCCATATTGGCCCTCGGGCGCAAGTGGCCCGATCAAGTTGTTCTTGTACCCCAGCTGTCTTGACATTATTGAGCGAGGTCGCACACGCGAGTATGCGAGGAATGTGGAGAGTTACGCTGAACTCTACCAGGCGGGGCGCTATACCTCAGATGATCCGGAAAGGAGGGAGAATCTGTGCAGTGTTGGAAATAAGACTAGAACGATTGATGTCCCCCGCACTCTTTTGCCAGGACAGTTTCTTTATAACTGCACTATATTTTACGGCGCCCCTGCCCCGACACTGGCGGCCCACGAGTCATCTCGCCTCACATGGGAAGCCGTCAGAGCTGTCTACTACCACATACATTAAACGAAAATGTTCATCATGGTTCCGCTTTGCAGTTTGGACCACCCACTCGGGTGGTGCCCGCGGATCGTGTGGTGGCAGAGGGCCAAGTTGGCCCCCCTGGCCAGACGGTTAAAGTGGGAGTCTGTAAGTGTTCTCTCTTCCCTTTTTTCTCTTTACGTCGTCACGAAAACTGACTAAAAAAAATGTCTCCCACAGATACTGATGACCAGTTGGAGTTCATCAAAGGCTCGTGATTTGGAACATCATGGGACGGGGGGTTATCTTATGGGTAACTCTTGAGCCACGGGCCTCATAGTTCCATCATGTTCGCGATTATCCTTTTTCATATCGACATTTCCAAAGCAAAAAAAAAAAAAAAAAAAAAAAAAAAATTTATTAAAAGAAAAATTTAAAAAAAAAAAAAAAAACCCAAATATCCACCCGAGCCGAATTTCCAGTCGCATCACTTTACTGGCATTCTTCTTTGCTGAGCCGCTCGTAATTGCACCAGCACTTGTAGCCGACAGCCTTGTCACCGAGGACATATGTAGTTTTGCTGGACGCGCAGTATCTATAATCATAATTAAGCCAGCCGATACCAGGAACCTCTAGCCTGAAGTGCCTGCAGCCATACACTGGATTGTCTCCGCAGCCTGGTCACTAGGTAGGTTCACAAAAAGAAGCCCGTTGGTTAGATATAAGATCACATCTAGCCGGGCACCTTGGAAGATACCTTATGGACATTAAGGGGGGAGGGGGCTACTGACAAGTAGAAGTTGCAAACTCCTTGGTTGATCTTGATGCTCGAGACTTGGTAGGCGAGGGAGTCGTCTACCTTGACTATCAGAGAGGTTGTTGTTGTTGTCAGTCACATTTGCTACTACGCACGCCACTGCTGTATCCAGCCGGATCGGGGCAAGGTAAAGTGAACTTACTGCAGGCGCCTTGTTTGCTGGTAATGGTCTTGGTGTTTCCAGTGTAGTTGGTGAGAGTGTAGAGGCTGACGGAGAAAGTGGGATGCGGAGCGCTGTCGGTCATCGACATGGAACCCGAGGGGAGGGCCGTGGCGGCCTTGAAGGCGGTAAGGGCAGTGAGGACAGAGATGAGCTTCATGGTTCTCGTGTAGGTGAGTTTCTTACATCAATGTACGCGGCGATCGAAATCCACAGAGGTATGCAAGAACTATAGCACGACTGGCCGGGTACGATTTGATATGTAGAAGACCGTTGTTCGCAGGCAAAACCAGGTCTGTAAATAAGCGAGGTCGACAGCCAGGTCTTTACAAAGGTTTAAAAACAACTGACTATGGCCTTGCTTTGTCATCAATAACCCTTGGTTGGTACATTTGATTTGCTTCTTAATTTATGTTATTCCCTTTGCTTTGTTGGGGTCACTCAGCTTAACCGCTGCACATTGATCTTCCGACACGTGCCAAAGAACAGACAGTCGTCTCGCCCGGGTTGTCACTCATGCCGAGAGAATAGTTATCGCCGGAAGGCTCTGGGAAGGTTACGGTCAGCACCTTGTAGAGTGACTATGACGGGAAATGCTTTGCATATTTGTACTTCCTAACCGGTTTACATCCTGTGCTTTGCCTGAAGGATAGGTACAGGGGTAAAGGTAAGGTTAACCTGCGACAAGAGATCTCAGAGCTCGACAAGAAACGAGTTACAACATAATATTTCCAGATGTAAATACCCAGAACCCTTGGCTTTTCCATTCCCAGACTAACTCATCGATGATTCTGCTATATCGTAGCGCATATATATTGCTACATCTCTCCCTTAACCCTTCCCCAAGTATGTACCTCTATAATCATAACTGTACTAATGTGCTAGACGAAGGCGTGCTAGACGACTTTCCACAACGGCTCCGAGCTTGGGCATTCGTCCATATCGCGAAGATTTGATGTCCTTCACTCCCTCGGCCCACAACGTCTCGAATGGCTCCAAAAACTCCGCCATCAGTCGTTTGTGCCCCTCCGCATTGCGGATAAACTCGCCCAGGCCCTCTTCTACCTCATCAACTCTGTAGTCAGTCACAGACTCCTTGACATTGACCACGAAGCCGAAGATGTCAAGAAGGTCGCGAATTTCCACGAAGTGCTTCGTATAATAAAACGGGCCTTTGTCGAAATCACAACCGGGAGCTCGATTATCAAAGACTCCCCATGACTTAGTGAACCACATTGCCATCGGGATAACATGGTAATCTGGGAGGTCACAGACTACCTTGATCTGGTAGTCTTTAGCCTTCGTCAAAAGATGAAGGATGGCCAGTCGAATATTCTTCGAGGTATCCATCGCTTGACGACGACAGCGAAGAAGCAAGACATCATCCTCCCCGAGAGAAGTTTGCTCAAGAATGTAGAGCTTCCTCCGCAAGGTGGCCACCAGACGATTATCCTCATAAATTCCCGTTCTGTCATCGTCCTCCCCCTCCTCCTCCTCTTCTTCTTCTTCTTCTTCGTCCTCTTCTTCTCCTTCCTCCTCTTCCTCGTCGTCGTTGTCGTTGGGGTCGAGGCACAGATACCGTACAGCCTTCCTAGAAAGCCACCGCAGCCTCCCTCCCATCTTTTCGAAGAATTCATCATCCTCCGGAAAAAGTGTCAACTTGTATCCGCAGATACGCGCACGTACCTTCCTATACGCCGACTCGTACCGTCTCAGCGCATACTCGCGGGATTCGTAACAGACATGGGCCAAGGGCGGGGGTTGACAGGTGAAGAGCAGAGGAGCATAAACAAGCCCCACAGGCGGTCCGGATAGGGCGGGTATTCAGTAATCTCTCTCACGGACATGCGCCTGGATGTCTCGAATGTCTTTGCATCGGCATTTGCAGGATATGTTGGTTGCAAAGATCTCGTCCTCGGGGGTGAGGACCTCGTTCCATATCATGTCGCGGACTTCGCGTGGTAAGGACCAGAAGGTCACCTTATTAGTCTTCGTCGTCGTCCGTATCATCGTCATTGTCGCCGTTGGAGTCGGCGTCATCTTAGCCGGTGCCATCGTTCCCTGCAGCGGCTGACCAGGGTTAACTCCGGCAGGTGGTACGTCGACTGGTTGCTTCTGTTGGTCGCTTGAAGTTTTGGATGTGAGCTGATCGCTGTCGTCCTTGATGCCGGCCGTTTCGAGCGGTTGGTTGATATCTTCGATCGTCTTGACGGTCTGGTACTTCTAGCCTCTGTTCTCTTTGAGCCGACTCCGAGTCAGGGTGCTCAGGAGAGATACTAGCAAGCCAATCGATGGGAATTGAGGTAGAAGAATCGTGGGGTTGGAGGGGGAGAAATCAGGGTATGTGTGGGTGGGAGAATCGAATGAAGGCATTCGAAGAAAGACTGCCGAGATATGACAGAGTGTTGCTGCCGCCAGCATGTGTCGGATACAGCAATGGTAGTTGCCTAAAGAGAGAAAAAGAAGAAGAGGAAAGAGAAGAAGACGGGCAAGGACGTCGCTTCCCCAATTGCATCTGTCTCCCACATGATCCCACTGACCGAAAGACATTGATAGTTTTATTGGTCTGGCGAGAGAAAAAGAAGAGGCTGGGGTATAGATCCCCCGCTAAATGCCCAAAGGCGAACATTTTCGTGGGGAAAAAAGTAAATAACAAACATGCAGTTGTTCCAAACTGGAAGGAAGAATGCGGGGTGTGTCGTGAATGATGGGAAGCCGGCAAAAGGGCTAGCACAGCGGAATTTCCAACACTTTTTCTACAATTGAAAGGATAAAGAGCAAGGTACTTGTACAAAAAAAACCACGAAGGAATGAAAAGAGGTGCGAAAATGAAGATATAGGCAAAGAAGATGGAAAAGGAAAAGAAAACGGCCAAAAAAAAACATACAACACCAGGGATTCGCTGGTCGTCACCGACCCAACTACTAGTCTGGCCCTCACTAAGCTTGTGTATGGGAGTGAGAAGGATATCAATCGGGTCTTTTAATCACGTGGTAGGGTCAAAAAACTGAACAATCACCTCCCGTATCAAATCGTTCGTTACGGAGGCATTACGATGAGTGTGGAGGCAGCGCTAAAGAGATTAATATGTTACGAACTTAAGCGACACAAGGGTCGCCCAAGCCATCGGGACCCGACAGCCCCGCTCATGATTAGATAGTGTAACCCAAGACAAGGGTTGGACCAGGGGAGTACCCGAAGGGCGCTCACGGTGAACACGCGCTCACGGTGAACACGCGCTCACGGTGAGCAAGCGCTCACGGTGAGCAGAACACTATCGTGAGCAGACACCAACCAGGCAAATGGGAGACAAGGTGTCAGAAGTATAAAGGGACGACTGGAGAACTCAGATTGTCAGATAGTTCGACAATAGTCAATTGATCATTATCACCGAGACCAGTATAACGCTACCATACTTGTTGTGAACCCTTTGGCTTCACCGAACGTCTTCTGATAGTGTTAACCTTCAGCTATCCTACTTAGGCAGATCAGACTGCCGTTCGTCACACTTGTGCATACTTTAAATAGAGTTGGCATCAGATCCCAGAGCTGTGGTTGGCACGTCGAACGCCGCCAAGATGTAGGCGTTTTCCTATTCCGCAGCCCTGCCCCGTATGAGGTGCAATCTTAGTGTTTCAGAATGGTCAATTTTTCTCGTAATCTGCCCAATTGTATTATGTGACGAACGGCAGTCTGATCTGCCTAAATGGGATAGCTGAAGGTGAAGACTATCAGAAGACGTTCGGTGAAGCCAAAAGGTTCACAACAAGTAGGGTATCGTATACTTGTCTCAGTGATGATGATCTGTTGACTACTGCAGAACTATCTGACAATCTGAGTTCTCCAGGCGTCCCTTTATACCTTGGTGCCTTCTAGTTACATGCGTCTGGCTCATTGGTCGTAGCTTGGCTCATGAGCTCCTTCCTGGCTCATGAGCTTCAAGTTGGCTCATGAGCCTGTCTTGGCAGTTATGAGCCCTCCTTGCTCTGATCCTGGCTCTTACCCCTGGAAAGGTTTCATTGCCCAGCCTTCACGTGGCTGTTGTATTCCCGATGGTTCGGTGGGCCCATATCATCGCTTAAGTTCGTAACACTAACCCGGTGACAACTGGGCAGTCACGGGTTAATCCCGTGGCATCTGGACCGCACAGGCACCTGCAAAAGGAGAGTCAAGGGATGAAATAGTCTTGCTTCTTCATAATGGAATACGTCATCTTGACAACAGTAGAAGGTACCAGAATTTACAAAACTCCTATAAATTTGCCTATCCTCCCAGACCCTTCTGGTGGTACGCTAGAAAAAAGAAATAGAGAGAGAGGAATTGAAAGCGACATGGAATACATTATATGTCGTGCGAGAAACCAATAAACCAAACCAGTCCTGATACGCAGCTGGTGGATATCACCTGTCCCTGGACATTACATTTAGACGGTCGGTAATTCGGTGGCAGCCAGAGTACGTTCTGGCCGTTGCAAGTAATCCAAGAACCATCCTGTTCCAAGCCATAGCCATAGCTCTCTGGATTATCTAGTACAACTTGGCTTTCGGTAGTTTCTGTAACTATTTTAATACGTCCAACGTTGGTATGTAGGTAGCGATTGGTAGGGTCAAACGAGATATCGGTGATCATAGTACTAGTAGGAATCGTCTGGAGGCAGTTCCCCGACGCCGGATCCCAGATCTTGATCGTTTTGTCATACGAACCGGACGCAAGCCGCTGGCCATCAGGCGAGAATGCCACTGAGAGAACGGAGTAGCTATGGCCTTTTAGGGTCTGGAGGCAGCTCCCCGACGCCGGATCCCAGATCTTGATCGTGTACCCCGAACCGGACGCAAGTCGCTGGCCATCAGGCGAGAATGCCACTGAGCCAACGGAGCGGCTATGGCCTTCTAGGGTCTGGAGGCAGCTCCCCGACGCCGGATCCCAGATCTTGATCGTGTGGTCCGCCGAACCGGACGCAAGCCGCTGGCCATCAGGCGAGAATGCCACTGAGCCAACGGAGCGGCTATGGCCTTCTAGGGTCTGGAGGCAGCTCCCCGACGCCGGATCCCAGATCTTGATCGTGTCGTCCGCCGAACCGGACGCAAGCCGCTGGCCATCAGGCGAGAATGCCACTGAGCCAACGGAGTAGCTATGGCCTTTTAGGGTCTGGAGGCAGCTCCCCGACGCCGGATCCCAGATCTTGATCGTGTCGTCATACGAACCGGACGCAAGCCGCTGGCCATCAGGCGAGAATGCCACTGAGCCAACGTAGCCGCTATGGCCTTCTAGGGTCTGGAGGCAGCTCCCCGACGCCGGATCCCAGATCTTGATCGTGTGGTCCGCCGAACCGGACGCAAGCCGCTGGCCATCAGGCGAGAATGCCACTGAGCCAACGGAGCGGCTATGGCCTTCTAGGGTCTGGAGGCAGCTCCCCGACGCCGGATCCCAGATCTTGATCGTGTAGTCCTCCGAACCGGACGCAAGCCGCTGGCCATCAGGCGAGAAGGCCACGGAGTAAACGGAGTCGCTATAGCCTTCTAGGGTCTGGAGGCAGCTCCCCGACGCCGGATCCCAGATCTTGATCGTGTCGTCCGCCGAACCGGACGCAAGCCGCTGGCCATCAGGCGAGAATGCCACTGAGCCAACGTAGCCGCTATGGCCTTCTAGGGTCTGGAGGCAGCTCCCCGACGCCGGATCCCAGATCTTGATCGTGTGGTCCCCCGAACCGGACGCAAGCCGCTGGCCATCAGGCGAGAATGCCACTGAGAGAACGGGGTCTATATGGCCTTCTAGGGTCTGGAGGCATGCATTCCAATCCAATTCTACAGCCGGCTTAGTTCGAATCCATTCAGGTTCTTCTGCCCTGAAATTCTTCCTTATCATGCTACCGCTTGGAGCAAATACAAGCGCTGAGATGTATGCTTGAAGTGGAGCTTGCTCTATTATCCATCGATAAGATAGAGCAAACCGGTAAGCATCCCAAACAAGCTTTGATAACTGCGATTGATTATTACCTCCCTATATCTTTAGTTAGACTAAGTTCCTAGTGCGGAGTTGACTTGCACTTACTAGTAGGCCCTCGAGCTTTCTGATAGCAACAACGCCCGCAGGCATAGCTTGGAGTAGACTTAGAGCTTCGAGCCAGTAAAGGTACTTCGTCTCCAAAAATGTATGGACAACCTCCTCAGCCCGTAAAGGATCATGCCGTTTTGTGTCCGTGTCAGAAACCGAGTCACACAAGTGATCAACCCAGTAGACGCACGAATACCGCACCGTTGCTAGCGGGTCCGGATCCGGTACTTAGACCTTGTCGCTCGGAAATCCCGGTGCGCTTAAGCCGTATATGTCGCGTCGCAATACTGTAGACATAGCTTTAAGTGACCTCGAGAAGATGGTATAATTCACATCTTCTTTCCCAGAAGGAAAAATCCACTTGAATGTCTCCCGAGAAGCTTGGCTACCAGCTTTATCAGAAGCATTGCCCAATAGAAAGTCCTTGGCGGATTGGTGGACAAAATAAACAGTCTGGTCTCGAAGAGTCAAAAACGAGCCGCAAAGCCCTATAAGCTCTTCCAAGGACTGCGGATCATCTGAGATATCGTCTGACATCTCGACGAGAGTGGTCAGTTCTTGAAGGCTGATGGGTCGGCGAACGATAGAGGAAACGGCAAGAATTTGCCTGCATAGATCCGCATGATTGGACTGAATAATCTGAGCATGGCCAACCTTGCTTTCACGTGGAATAGTCAAGGTCGACATGAAGATGCCCTAGCGTTGATGCAAGACTGTGTTGAGGCTCGGCAGCGAGTCCTTGGGCCTGAGCATCCTGACACGCTGTCGTCCTTGGCTACTGTGTCGAAATGGAGTAGCTAGGCTCATCTTAATTCTTCTTACTATATAGTGCAATCTAAAGGCCTCTATTCAGTTACATATAAAACTACCGTAAAAGTATCTACTGGGGGACCATTATAACGAAGGTACCCGAACATGTAGGGTGATTACTCAAAGTACCTGGCCAGGACAGTGACTTGGTTTATGAATGATGGAAGGCAAGAAGCGAAGTAGCCAAGGTGAAGATGACGGTCAATTGAATCCTATGCTGTCTACCCGCCAACACATTACGGCCCTTCCGGGCCTTATCCTTTCCTCCTCTTCGGCTCACTGAATGAGGTACCTGGAGTGACCGCCTGCTGCCTGCAGTGTTTTTGGCCGAGTCATCCAAACCTCTGAAAAAACCACTCCCAGATATAATCTTCCATATCGGAACATTATCTATGAGAGTAGTTTTTGTACAGGTATCACAGGGCTAGCCTGTGATGTGGTTGCACTACACTGACTGCACATGTGCCATGCCAGACATCTTCCTCCTGCAACGAAAATTCTTGGCGCCAAGTGTTAGTACTAATGCTAGGTTGCCCGCAAAACTCCTAACACCACCAAAATCGCCGTTTTCACGGTCGATATCAACAACCGCAACGACGAAATGTCTACGCCCACGCCCTCTGGGGCCCCCAAACCACCGCCGCTGGTTATGATACCGGTTTACCCTTTGCCGGACACGATTTGCGTCCCGCCCCCGCCCTCTACGACGGCGCAGTCGGCCAAAAGAGCCCGAACTGCGGACGAGGAAGTCCGTCGCGCCCACACCACCGCCACTGCCACCACCACTGGACATATCTCGTCCTTCACAAAGACTGTCATCTCCGATGCTCTCGCGAAAGCTGAAGTCTACCGCACGTTCGCCGCTTTCCTTGACTCTGAACTCGCCCGCGTCTCCGTCGTCTCTCCAGCCCACGCCCGGGAGGCCGACCACCTCGCACGGGCCATCACCGCTGCCTTGCGGAAAACTTCTGCATCCTCACCACCAACCCTAGACACACCACGAACCCTAGACACGCCACGAACCCTGGACACACCCTCGCCCGTCCCAGCCGGCAAGGGAAAAAGACTTACGTTTGCGGAAATAGCCGCCAAAGACTCAAACTCCGCATCTGCCTCCCGCTCTACTTCTTGCTCTGCTCGCAAGGCTACTCCACCTTCTACATCGCCCCAGAGCGACGGTCGTGTCTTCCTACGACTTGATAAATACTCCCCCTTTGCTGACACGGATGCCTTTGTTATTCGCAAAGAAGTGCAGACGCTCCTCCGCCTCGCCCTCACCGATATCCCCGGATGCCACAAGGTTCCTACCGGATTCGCCCTTGTGCCCAAGAACGACGCAGTCCGTCAAGCCCTCCTCGCCCGAAAGGATGAGATTGGAGCCCGTTTTGGCTGTGTCCAGGTCGAAGTGCCCAAGAAATGGGTCACATACGCCGTCCAAGATGTGCCCATGACGATGCGTTTGGGTATCGTCCCCGTAGACACTATGACCGCCATCAAGGACGAAGTCCTCGTCCAAACTGGCCAGGAGCCCATCGCCCTCCGCTCCTCTCAGCACTACCGTCCCGGCGAGGCATGTGCAACCTGGCTTATCTCCTTCGACAGGCCTGTCTCTCCCTTTCGCCTCTTCGACGTTAGCAACGTTAGCCGCCTTATCCAAAAGAGGCGCCCGCTTGACCAGTGCACCAAATGCTTAGAATGGCACGGCCGCAAGGGGTGTGCCCGTGCTGCGCGATGCTCTCAATGTGGACGTGCTGCTCATGGCGAATGTGACCGCCACTCCCAATGCGCCAACTGCCGAGGCCCTTTCCAGTCCACCCACGACGATTGCCCTATGCGGCCAAAACGCCAGAGAGATACTGTCGTCCGCCCGACGCCACAGCAACGCAAGGACATTTGCCGCAACGGCGGTATTCTCTTCACCAAGAAATACGACCACCTCGCCCCTTCTGACAGCCAGGAAGATACTGCCATGTCTTCCAACGAGCTGCCCAGGCATAGTTCCGCCCCCTCCGGCCCCGAGAACTCTGACAGCTCTGACCAGACCCAGTCCTCAGCTGATGAGGATACGATAGTGGTCCGGCTAAGCTAGTTCACCGTGTAAGAAGTCGTGAGGAGGTTTTGCATGAGGATGAGAGCGAGAAAGAGAGCGGGAGAGAGAGTGGGGAGGAGTGATTTTACAGTTTCTTATGTCTTTTCCTTTGTTCTACAGGTTCCGCCATATACTGGCGGCTCGCTCACTGGGCGATTTGATTGGAGGTGTTGGGCCGCGTTTACGCTATGGACAACACATGATTTTCACTGGCATTAAGCCTCGAGTTGCCCTCGGATTTATGGTTTTGGTGGACGGTTAGGACACTGGGCGCTACAAGGGCGTTCCAGGATATTGCTCCTACCTTTGTACACTAGATTCACCGATGCGGCACGTCTCATGCCCTTCGGGAGGCGGAAGTAGACGTTAAAAATAACACACACACACACACACACACACACACACATGTGCCATGCCAGACAATCTTCCTCCTACAACGAAAAGTCTTGGCGCCAAGTGTTAGTGTTAACGCTAGGTTGCCCGCAAAACCCTTAACACCACCAAAAATCGCCGTTTTCACGGTCGATATCCCAACAACCACAACTCCGAAATGTCTACGCCTTCGCCCCTTGGGGCGCCCAAACCGATACCGCCAGTCATGACGCCGGTTACCCCTCTGCCGGACACCCTTTGCGTCCCGCCCCCGCCCTCCACGACGGTGCAGTCGGCCAAGAGAGCCCGGACTGCAGACGAGGAAGTCCGTCCCGCCCACACCACCACCGCCTCCCCTGCTGCCTCCGGCCCCATCACGTCCTTCGCCGAGACCTTCATCTCTGAAGCTCTTGCAAAAGCGGAGGTATCGAGAAGCAGCTTAATAACCGCTTTATGCCCCTTCTCTATCGCCATATATAGCGCTGTCTGTCCATTCTTATCCTTAGGATCTGCGTCAACCTTGCCAGTATCGAGAAGCAGCTTAACAACCGCCTCATGCCCATTCTTTGCCGCCATATGCAATGCTGTCCGTCCATCCTCATCCTTAGGATCTGGGTCAACCTTGTCGGTATCGAGAAGCAGCTTAACAACCGCCTCATGCCCATTCTCCGCCGCCATATACAGCGGTGTCCGTTCATCCCGGCCCTTAGGATCTGGGTCAACCTTGCCAGTATCGAGAAGCAGCTTAACTACCCCTTCCTGCCCATTCTCTGCCGCTATATGCAGCGCTATCCGTGTAGCCCCGTCCCAAGCATTGGCGTCAACCTTGCCAGTATCGAGAAGGAGCTTAACAACCGCTTCATGCCCCTTCTCTGCCGCCATATGCAGCGCTTTCCGTTCAGCCCCATCCTTAGCATCTGCATTAACCTTGCCAGTATCAAGAAGCAGCTTAACAACTGCCTCATACCCAGTTATCGCCGCTTGATGCAGCGCTGTCTGTTCATTCTCATCTTCAGCACCTGCGTCAACCTTGCCAGTATCGCGTTGGGTACATGGTTGGGCATAGATGATTGAGAGGCCCAGGGCGCCAAGCCCGGAAAGGAAAGGCGTTGGTCAGCCTTTACTGTAATGGAGAGCTGCTCTGAGTGGATGGGTAAAGAGGAGAAGGCAATGCATTGGGAGGATGGTTTTGATTGGATTAAGGTAGGTACATGAAGGAGGCCCATCATGAAGCAAGACAAGAGCGAAAGATTCCCTTGCCACGCTCTCATCTGCATACACATAACTGGGCCGAGGAGTACGAAGAACCAATCAGGAATGGTCTTCTGACCGAGTGCAATCTTGGTGTTACCCGTGTAAAAGATCTAGCCGCAGTGTCAGGACGGTCTACTTTGCTCATAATCCGCCCAATTATATCAATCATTTTAGCGCCAGCTCCCCACTCACCGTAATGCCTCCGTCCGAACGATATAGATATGGGAGGTGGTTCAGTTTTTTGACCCTACCACGTGATTAAAAGACCTGGTTCATATCCTTCTAACTCCCATACATAAGCTGCCCCTCACTGGCTTATCTATGGGAGAGCGGACGGGATCCCGAGTTTTCCAGTGGGTATGGTCGTATGTACTTATTCTGTCCCAGTCTACCGCTTATAAGCTGACTTTGAGTGCCGGGCGACCAGAGAGTAGAAATAATCGTGCACATAGGTGGGTGGGCATGACATGACGCGCGAGCCACGGGGAAAAAAAACGAAAAAAGAGAAATTTCCACCAACCCGAGCTCGGTTAATGCGATGATTGTGACAAGAGTGGGATTCGAACCCACGCCCTTTCGGACCACGGATTTCTTTGAAGAGAATTAAGGGTTTACCTTAACGTGGCGCCTTAGACCGCTCGGCCATCTTGCCTGATGATGATATTTTGGTGTTCGGGATAGCACATGTAGTCAGTGTTGCCACGGCTCACTTCTCGGTGAAAGGGGGTGATCAATGCCACGGGAAGGTATCATGTTCAAATGTGCATAAAATCTGATTTGATTTGTCGGCCCTAGAGTGTGAGGTGATATGTTTCCCTTTCCCGGATCTTATCCCCGGTCCATGGTTCATCGTCCATGTAATTCTCGTACTCGATGATGTCGACAGCTTTGAGTGACGGAGGGAACTCGGTCATAATCCGCTGGCGGATGTTTTCTGCGGTAATGGAGTTCTGATGGTGATCATCGGTATCGGAGTCCAGAGCCACCCGGGGGAGCCCCCATATCTCTAAGCGGCTGCGGTCTATGAGGACTGACAAAATGTAGGGGGACCCTCAAGTAAGCCAGCTTTTCAAGTTCCGGTAGGCAAGTTAAGATGCGACTGGGGCCAAAGCGAAAAATCATTTGGTCTTCCTGAATTCGTTCCTTGTAGCCGCTCATCGACAGATGGTGAAGTGTGTCCTTGAACTTGGGCAGAATCGTGTTCCAGTTTTGTCTATCCCAGGCAAACACCATGTCGTCGAATTTGTTGACCTCAAGTCTCCTTAGTCGTGGGTTGGTACAGAACCAGTCGAACAGCCCGTCCAGTTTCACTCCGGGGTTGTCCACCCATCCCACCCCCGAGGGACAAAACCCGTTAAGTGTAAGGTCCTGCACAGTAGAAAGGCATGGGTGCCGGAAATTGTCGCCATACTTGGTTTCAAACAGGTTTTGAAGGACGGAAGAATCTAGGGTGAGTGTCGTTATCGGTGGATTGTGATCTAGGAAAAGTCTCCTGTTGTACTGAAACGGTTGAATCCAGGGTTTCCCTGAGCCGCGTATGACAAGTGATTGTAACGACGACGAAAAATGGACGATGAACGTAAAGATTGTATCCGTCAGCTCGCTGAAAGCCTCGGAACGAGTATCTATACGAATATCCCTGGGAGTCTCATGATATGAACTGTAGGCATCACGCAGGTACTTCAGTGCCCAAACACTGCTCGCTCCTTGTTCCATTACCACGGGCCCAAGCAGATTAACAAAGGCAGATGCATCCGGTTGGTCGTAAGGGTGACTGTGTCTCTCACCCGGACGATCGTACCTAGAACGCTGCCCCATGTACTTGTGGTTTCTTACGACGAGATGTCGAATATAGCCGCGATTCTTAGGGTACAGGAGCAGGCTTTTGCATAAGTTGACAAGTGTCCGAGGCCTGTCGAGAATGATGTCCTTAAATAGGGCGCGCTGTGCTGGAGCGGCCATGGACTTTGAGACTAGTGATAAAGCGCAGAGAGACTTTTGGCAGCACCGCCTGCGGTTGCATGGTTGGTGCCTGTCTTCCCACTTGACATAGCGCATACAGCGAGGCCACGGGGAAGGATTCTTCAATCCGACAAGCTGACATATGTGTTCCCGTATCTCCAGTGGAAGCCTCTCGAGCGGTGATTGTGCCGCAGAGTAGGGCGGTTGGTACGGAGTGGTTGATGGCGTCAGTGTTGTTGGTGGCACCACGTCGGAAGCAATTTGGTCGTCCGTGGGAGCCGCAACTGGAGCAAGCTTCACTGATGGAAGGAAGGATTGGGGGCTCAGCCGCAACTGAGTGAGACAAACGTCAGTGATTGTTAAACACAATGTAAGGCAACACATCGTAGTTCTGTCTTATTGCAGTTGTCTTACCTCCGACTTCTTCGGATGCTTAGACAGGACCTTTTGAACCTTTCCGCAAAACGGGCAGGGTTCGTCAGTCACATCCATACCAACCCCTGTTATAAATCCGATGGTTTGTCTAATGATGACCGGTCAAAAGAGAAGTTGTTTCCTTGCGTTGAAGATCCGACACACTGCTGGCGGGAACATGTGGTTACGTGTCCGGAGAGGAGGGCTGCAAGATGCGCCAAACCTGTCAGCGTCGGCTGCCCAACAGCTGGCGCGATGCAACCTTGCGATTGGCCAGAAGACCATATGTTTTCCTGATTCTCTTGACGTCGACCATCAGAGAATGCTAGTCGTTTTGTGAACATTGGGGGACTGCATATTTTCCTCTGGCACATTTGCAACAAAAAGATAAAAGCGACAGCAACGCAGAAGAGACTGCTGGGTGGCTGCTGGGATGGGATGGAAGGAAACATCAGAGTTCAACACTGAGACCGATACCAAGTGTCCAAGTCCCTATCTCCGAACTTGCTTAATAATATCAGGGTCTCCAAGCGTTGGATCCTACAACGCTGCAGGAACCATGCACCAGCGGGATGTCAAACATATTCCGGTTGTGTGGATGTACCGAGGGAGATTGTCGTGATGCTGGTCTTGGCATGTAGTATCGGTCGCTCGGTATTGAGGGGTAGATGTTGGGTAGAGGCGTAGATCGACTGCTGATGTTGGCCTGAGGAAGGTATAAGATGGTCGGTATGCTCTGTACGGTGAGATTGTAAAGTCAGTTGAGGATCAGCAGCTTCAACACTTTGACAACTTTACTCTTCTTTATCTCTACCCACCGCGGTTCATCAAGCCCCTCATCACTCAGGATTGAAGCCAGAATCCAAACAAGGCTCTGCTCATAATGGGATCCACACAGAAGGGTTATCATCTTCCGGCGGATGCCGTGTGGTTCAATATGCCCCCCTTGTCGCTCGCCTGATGCCAGCCTCCGCTCGTAACCGACACTCTCACAGTAACCGGCTGCTCCCAAGGCATAGGCCGCGCCCTATGCACCCTTGTCCTCTCAAAGGGCCACCGTCTGGTTGCCACGGCTCGTAACCCTACCACGGGCCTCTCCTATCTTCCTGAGTCTACACCTTCCTCGCAGCTCTTGAAGCTTCCTCTGGATGTGACCTCCCGCTCCTCCATCGACGCGGCCCTTGACGCCTCTATAGCGCACTTTGGCCGTCTTGACGTGATTGTCAACAATGCTGGAATGTTTATCTACGGCAACACCGAAAACACGGACGAGGCCGACGGTCGGGCCGTATTCGAGACGAATTTCTGGGGTCCTATGACCATCACGCAGCGGGCGGTGGGGATTATGCGCGATGTGAATCCGAAGTCTCCGTCGTGTGATGGCGCTCAGGGAGGCGTGATTCTGAACGTTACGTCGTTTGGTGGGCGCGTAGCAGTTGCTGGGTCAGCGTTCTATGATGCCAGCAAGGTAGGACTGGAGGCGTTCACCGAGTGTATGGCACAGGAAGTCAAGCCGGAGTGGAACATTCATCTGAGCTGTATCCAGCCGGGAGGTGTCAGGACAGGCTTCATTTCTGGAAGGAAGAGGATTGATGAGCATCCTGCATACAAAGGGTTTGAAGGGACCCTTCAAATTGTGGAGAGGTACTTTGATGATCCGCAGACACCAGAGAGCTGGAATACGCCGGAGAGCATGGCGGAAGGTATCTATGAGACGGTTAGTTCTGATAAAGAGATCCCGAGGAGGGTGCCACTGGGACATGATGCCTGGACAGTTTTGATGGCGGACCATGAAAGGACTGGAAGGGAGTTGGAGGCGGGGAAGGACCTGCAATGAAAGTTGGAAATGCGGCAGGGGCAAATTTGACCAGTTTGTTTGCGTAGGTTCAGTCTATTATTCTTGTTCAGATAGCAAACCGACAACGATGAAAAATACAACGTAGGGGTATCCTGTAACTCTGGAATGCTTTGCCAGTATCCAATTATGCACCACATCTCCTCCGTTTCCTTCGATTCTGTGATGCTCGGTTGCCTCGAGGATGTCTCGATAACCCAGTCTTGCGACGCTCTACTCTTCCAAGGCTCAACTGGATGTCGCGCAGCCAACCGTGTCCGCGAAGGCACTACCGGTTTCCTCTGCGGATTGGTCCTCTAGTCCCTGCCGGTAGGGTGCCTGAAAAGGACATACCAGGCGTGGATGATGCCAGGGAACCAGGCCAGGATGGTCAGGAGGATGTTGATCCAAAAGTCAATCTTGAAGCCGCGGTCGAAGAAGACAGCCAGGGGCGGGACGAAGATGGCGAGGATGAAGAGGATGATGTCGGAAGCGCCGAAGCGTCTCTGAGTGACGGCGGGGGTGGTGGCTACCGACTTTTCGTTGGCATAGGTGCTTGCTGTGGTCGGGCGGTTGGTGGCTGGTGTTGTGCCGGCGGCGGTGGTAGTACCGGTTGTGGGATCGGCTTGAGGGTATGTTGTGCTCGCAGTGTTGTGGGCTTGGGTGGTCAAAGGTGTGCCAGCGCCAGCAGTGGCAGCGGTAGGGGCAACATGATGGGACTTTTCCGTCGACGTGTTGGGGACCGAGGGAGGTGCCGCGTATGCTTGTGACATTGAGCTCTGCATTTTGGAGGCTTGGATGTGGGGGTTTTGTAGAAATGCTCGATTCGGTTTTCGGTGAAAACGACTATTAGGTGGTATTGAGGTGACTTCGGTTCATGCTCTTAGGTATTGCGCGGTGAAAATAATTAGGTAGATGAAGGTTGATGTTGGGGTGGTGGTTTCGGTTCGGTCAATTGCTGCGATGCCGTGAATGGGGCTTGACCTATTTCTATCTCCCCGGCAGGTCTTGGATCGTCAAGGGAACCACTCCATTCCCGTCATAACGGAAGGAGTCATGAGATCACCAGGCCGAAAAATCTCCATCACTTCCGTAGTGCACGACGGTGAACAGGTTCGAAGGAAGGCGCAACTTGCGGCTGTTGTGGCGGATTAGGGGTCCAATGACGTCATAGATGAGGATAACGGCACGCACACAATCTGACGACGACGACTGTGTCGATCCTTCCCGTCATCCTCACGTTTTCACGCGACATTCAGTCAATTGCTATTGACTAGCTCCTCATTGGTTCTCTCTGCTTGCCTTCTTGTACGTCCTTTCCATTTGTGCGGTTGAGTCAGTGGAGCATCGACACTGAAGACGATTGTGATTGCAGAAAGAGTTTGCGTGATTGTCAGCGACGACCGACAAGCCTCTCGCGTCTTTGTCATAACGGCAAAATCACAGGGACAGCGCCCTTTCTTTAACTTAACATCAATCATCAAGAGATCTATGTACTGGCCTCCAGCCACACGCCATGCCATACTGCCTATACGGGAACGGAGGTCCGAAAGCCCAACTTCAAATCCTCTCGACACGCATCTCAGCATCATCACCGTCTTCACAGTCTAGAACAACAAGCATCGAGTCCTGCATCGGCCCGTGGGTTTCGGAACATGGCATATGCCTTGCAACTTACCCTCCGCGCCTTTGAGAACAACTTGTGCCGTTTCAACTCCCATGTTACACCACCCAACAAGATGTCTTCCGAGTGTCACCGCAGGCACGATCCTCCCCAGGTATGGCAACATGTAGGTAGGCAAGTTGCCGGATACGATGAAGGAACGAACGCCTTACCACTCTAGTGGAAGTGATAGATCACGAGGAAATCTGGCAGCGGTCTTGGGTGGTAGGTTTCCACTCATTCGAGAGACACACGCCAAGGAATGTTCTCGTGAATATTTGAACTCGCCTCATACTCTCATTTTACTCCCGCTTTTGCTGCCATTTCAACCCAATGAAACCAAGAAAGCTGAGCCCTAGCTTACCATCAGCAAACAAGATGGCGCCTAAACCAACCCCTCCACTTCGGTCCCTCCCAAACATCTCATATACTGTACTGGTGGCTATGGTTCTGTCTCTTTTCAGTCATGGTGCCCACGCGAAACCCGCTCAGCCGCAAACTGTCGAGCATCTTGACCTCATCTTCTTCGCAGAAATACCGCTAAACTGTACCGGTTCTCAGATAACCTGCCCGACCCAATTGCAATGCTCACCCCTTACAATCCCCTACGTACGCTGTCCAGGCATCCGCCCCAACACATGCTGTGCAGTCCTTCCACCCTTTTGTGGAGCCATGGCTTGTGACCGGGCTCAAGGGTGCGGCAGGGGGGTTGAGTTGGCACTATATACGGGCATCAGGGACTGTTCGATTCATGGAGCAGGCTTCGGACATTACTACTGTCAGCAACTCGAAGCCGTCGACGAAAAGGGTGGCTGCTGTATGCTTGGCTTTGGGTCCAATGATTGGGAGGTTGACCCTGACGGCGTCAGAGGAGGTTGCAGTGCAGAGTGGTGGTATCATTCCCACCAACAAGAAAAACGACATGGCAGTTTTGATACCAGTATACGTGGGGGACAACGAGAAGCGGATGGTCTAAGTGAACAGCGGCCACAGCCCTGCGTGGAAGCGAGCGTCTTAGCATTCTACGATGATGCTGGACTTCAGAGAGAGGTACATGTCCCAAATGGGGAAATGGGCAGAGCCGGAACAATGGTACTTCAGCGAAACTGGAAGGGCCTATTGAAAGAGTTCGATGAATGGGGTGAGTCGTTTGAACATTCAAATCTGCCATAAATTACCGTACTACTTCCGCAGAGCAACCCCGATGTCCAGCAAGTACATCTCACCAGGCCCCGATTGATGATCCATCGGATAATTCAACACACTGGTTTCCAACAAATCGCTATACGATAACCTCTTCACTTTGTCAGTTCCATCACGTGGCAGCGGTCTCGTTTTCCTCCGTGGCAAGCTGCATGGCAAGCTGCGCGGCAACCAATATGGTGTCTTTCAAGATCACCGGCACGGCAACAGCAGCACCGGAGGCTACTGCAGCCACCGCTGCGCCAGAGCCTACAGCAAGAACGCAGCCGACACGGAAATAGCAATTCCATCTCTTACTGCTCTCCATCTCAGCTTTCCTCAATTTCTCCTCCTGTTCTTTGAGCTTCCTAAGCTTTGCCTCGAGTTCTGCCTTTTCCGCTAGGAGTTCTGCCCATTGCGCTTCGAGTTCTGCCGTGTCCGCTTCTTGTTCTGCCTTGTGCGCTGCTTTTTCTTCCCTGGCCGCTGATGCGAGATCCTCTCGGGCTTCTTTGTTTCCCCGTAACTCCTTTTCCGCCCGCTCTGCTGCCTTATTGATCCCGCTCATTACAACCTTTCCAGCTGCGGTCTCGTCCAGTCGCAGTTTGTCGTCTACCAGCTCGCGCTGGAGATCGGTGACCACGGTGCTCTCAGGCTGTTGGATGAATCTCGCTAGCAAGTCCATCGCAGACTGCCGGGTGTTGTTGTGTCGCCCTGTGCACGCGCCATGGGGTTGAATCATTGTGGCCCAGAACTTATTGTCGGTGAGGAGTTCCTTTTCACGGCCCTCAAACTCCTCACGACACGATTCCGATTCTTTGTCCCACATGGTTGTGACGAAAGTGACATGATGGAGGGCATCAGGCCCACACAATTTCTTGAATACGGCAAGGTTCTTCATTGATGATCCTTGCATGCGATTATCGGTGATGCGGTGCAGATACAAAAGGCCGTTCAGCGTGATCTTGCGATCGTACGATTCCTTAAGGTAACCAGAAATCTTCTCGAGAACATCAGCATCGGTTAGGCTGTCGTCATCGAAGCCCGGGGTGTCAATGAGATTGACTTCGATGGAATCGGAATGCTTGTAAGAGTGTATTTGGACATCCTTCGTGCCTGTCAAGCATCACGTTAGCTTATCCTGGTCTCAATGGTCCACGTTTTCATGTCTACCCACATGATGCGAGGCCACGGCCGATTTCGATGCCATTATTACCGACGCAGTGTCTTATGAAACTGCTTTTGCCGGAGCCTGTCAACCCCATAACCGCGATAAATATCTGGTCTCGCCGGGGGTAGAGGGGAGGTTAGGATCGCGATAAGGGGGAGGGTCGTCAGGTGTTGCCTTGGACATGATGTTCGGTGGAGGTGATTGACCAGACTTCTTCGTTTGTGTGTGGGTGTGCGAGGTGCAAGAAAGATGAAGATGAAGATGGGCACATCACTTGAAAGACGACGGGCAAGCCTAAACCTTATACCTAAACGTGTTGACATCGCTGCATACGCCCATGATCATACGTCGGGTTGATTTCCATCTGCTCCATTCCAGACCACCTCCCCATAGCCCAGCGTTCGTTATTCCTAAAATCCTATGAGAGAAGAAATCCCTACGGCAGTTGTGGTTTTGTTGGATGCCGCCTAGGTGGCTGCGAAGCCAACTCATTCTGTCGTACAAGAGCGTTTCTGTCATTCTATTGGGGGATCCTGTGTCCTAGCAGCCAGCTACAACAATATTGGTGTGCGTTGGGTGTTGTGGCCTCAGCCATTGTGCTCTTTTTATCGCGAAAGCAGTTTGGTGAAACGCACGCCATGCATGAGGCGTTGGCTTCAGGCTGTCAAAGAGTACGAAGTCCCTACAAAGGGTACAGATCAGAGCAGGCTGTGAACGATGACGAATCCATACCTTACCTTTCAAACTCATGTCAGAGAAACGTTTCTGAAACAACAGCCAATGCCAAAAACCAATGGTGTCTTTGACGTTCACAGACCTGAAATGGTCAAGGCGAGGCTGTCAAGTGAGAGACCAACACGTCACCGAGGTAGAGCGCCCTCATCCTACTCCCTAGGTCCTCAAAATTGACTCTGCTGACTGGTGGGTGCAAGAATGAAGTTCCAATGTACCCGACGGAGAAGAAGGCAACCAAGACCACCGGGCACAATGTACTATCGACTTCAACAAATCTAAATGACTCAAAGCGACAGACGCAAGCATTGGGCATCCAGTACTCGAAAGGCGTAGAATCCGCTCCAGCCCAAGTGCGCTGGCACTTGGGTAGAAGTTCGCTTCAAGTCTTCGAAACCAACCGAGTATAGGTACGTTACGCCAGCCTCAACTTGGCCGAAAGGCGGCATAAAAGCCACTGAGGTTGTTTCACAAGAAGACCCCGCGACCGTATTGGCGTGCAGGTTGAGGCTCAATCCACGACTAAAAGCTCTTTTTAGCCAGGTAGAATTACGTAGCTCACAGCCTTATGGTCTAATCCAACGGCCTGTGTCTAAGGAATGTGGCCTAGGCTCTGGGGAAGCACAACATTTGTTGAGTTCATCGTCACGGAGCGGCTTGGGAACGGCTGGAATGACTGGGACGATAAGAACGGGACAGGTACCTCTAGTTCGGAAATGTTGAGAAAGTGCATTTTTCTGCCTGACAAACTGGACGGATGGTGAGTTAACATCCGAAGGAGGGTCGGAGCTTCAGAGCCTCACGGATGTTGTGTGAATCGGCGCTGCCGGATATGATGTGTCCGAAGCAGGCGGAAGGGGTGAACTTGCGGATGTTTTTCCTTCCAGTGTTTACGGCTGATCTGCATTATCTCGGCATAAAGCTCTCCTCGCGCGATGCATATTCTGTGATCTGTGGCTAGCGGTTCCTGACTTGCGATGAGTGAGTGTTCTGTCAATCACCTCAGTTGGTGGTGACAGGCAATACCTGTAGGGAAAAGGACACTGCAAACACAGAGGTTGTGCACACCAGGGAATATAAGTGGAGGGGTTAACTAATACAGCCACATACGACCACACCCACTGGAAAACTCGGGATCCCGTCCGCTCTCCCATAGATAAGCCAGTGAGGGCCAGACTAGTAGTTGGGTCGGTGACGACCAGCGAATCCCTGGTGTTGTATGTTTTTTTTGCATCTTTTTCTTTTGCTCTATGCATCTTCGGTCATATTGTGATTGTCGCCGCTCCGTTCTGCTCTCTCTTTTGCAGTAGATATAGTTTGGATTGTCGTGTCGAATGAGAAGACTTGTCTCCGATCTTAAAAGCTGGGTTGTCAATTGAACGAGAGAGGTGTCGTTGCCAGATCACACAAGTTACGTACGGTACTTCCCGTAGTTCAATTCAACGAAGTTGCGCAAAAAAAAGCAAGCACGAACGAACTCGGCGATAAAGATAACAAAAGAAGGAAGGAGCTCGGCACAGCTTTTGACCTCTCGCGCTGAAACTTCCATTCGTTGCCGTCACTACCGCCAAAAGTGCAAAACATCATCCGCAATCATTCATCACCCCAACGTTCATTCACGTCCCGAAGACAAAAAAAACAAAAAAAAACAGCCATGCACCAAAACCATCCCCGACATTCCATTAACGAATGATTCAACTAACAGTGGATGGATGCAAAAAAAGCAAAAGAAGATGCCCAATAACAGGATTGAACTGTTGACCTTCGCATGGACTTGATATCAGAAAGAACCGATATTAGTACGACGCTCTAACCAGCTGAGCTAATCGGGCGATTACTGATTGTTGATAGCCGCTCAGGAACCAGGGTATAAGAACACATGATTTAGGTGGGGTCTTATCCGGTCGTCGTCCTGCGTCCGAGCGAGGGTCTTCGGCTGCGCGACTGTCACTCCTCGTTTTCTCGGCGAATAACTGAGATAAATCATCGTTGATTGGATCTGAGAGTCATAGGAACCTTGAGGAGAAAGAATGTAGAGTTTGCGACAGGATGGAATGATTGCAAGGGACCAATTATCACAATCCCTTCTGATGAACAGATGGGTCAGATATTGGACCCAGCATGTTGCGAGAAAAATGAGGGATGATAGTCGTTCCTTATAGAAGTCAGCTCGGCGGCGATGGAAAAGTGAGAAGCCAGTTGATGCAGGGGGTACAGAGGCGCGTTGAAGCTCAAGGGAAGGCCTCCTATATCCAAATGCCGTATGCAATGTTGGTTTAGGATTGGTGAGCTTGTTGGAAATCGTGGACGAAGGTTTTGCCACTAATCTACCGGGGCTCGGCCAAGAGTAAGACCCGATGGTGGTGTGTGGAAAGGAGGAGCGGAGTTTGATCAGGAATTCAGATGGTGAAGATAGTTACGAGTATCGCAAATCACCCGTTCTATACTGGTGTTCCTGTCATGTCACGCAGGGTAAGTCGAAACGGTCAGAAAAACTATTGAATAGAAAGGAAATGGTATTACCTTATTAACAGCTGGAAGAGAGCAGATATCAACGATAGTTCCGGTTTGGGACCAGGAACAAAGTGCCCATTAGCCAACCCCTCCATTGATGAACATCCTAATGGTGGCAGCTGGTAACTTCTCCTCTCCCACGACGTACATAACACGATGTTGACTGGAGCATGTCGCCACCGAAAGACCGTAGCCATGCTGATAAGGGAGGAACTAACAAACTTGGAGGAAGAGGGGGAAGATATAGCATCGACTTCTCAACTTTTCGATTTGAGAACTTGGAACGGGGTCGGACCTTGCGGAAGTTGTCTTGATTCGAGACCGTGATCGGAGGCGTGTGGGATGGTTACGTACCGTCGAGTGAGAAGACCTCATGTCAACCACATGGTTGAGGATGGTGCACGGATGACTGAACTTCAATCGATTGCGGGATTCATCGACGCCGTGAATGCTCGATTGCTCGGTTTGTGGTCGAGATTTCTGCCTCGTCAGATTTTTCCTTCCCATCAGTCCAGATTGCTGCCATGGAAGGTGCAGTGCTGCTGGGTGGCAGGCGCAAGTCGGGTCTTTCACGGAAGCGGGGAAGGTCACGGTTCCATTTGCGATGCATTCCCCTCTCTGGACATCTGCGTTGGCCGCACCTGCCACATACACACATCAGCAACTCTCAGCCAACCCCATCCAGGGACCAGGGAAAATCACCCATCTGAATTTGAAGGCATCGATTTCCACGTCGCCAACTCTGCTCACTCTGCCACCCAACCAGGTCAGTCCGGCTCCTTGGTCGTGGGAATCGAGACATAGTGAGTACTCCCCTCGCCTTCTCGGTATGCTGCCATTTCTTCCCATTCACATCCACAACAACCACTGACATGGAGGCACAAGGAAATTAGGGTATTCATTAGCCAAGGTCTGCTACCATACCTGACCATCATCCGTCGTTCACCTTATTTTATATACATACCGACCCATCCCGTCATTTCTCTCGCCCCGTCGTTCAAAGCCCCGCCTGTCGGTCCCTGGGCCTTTACACTATGACATCCGAACGAAGCAATATCCTTTTCGTCGTAGAAAACGTAACAACATTATGCGCCGGTTGGAGAAGCCCCCTGTGGGATTTGACTGGCGCGGAAAACTCCCGTCTCTCCTTCGCGGTCGTGGGTGTCCAGTGTCCTGATTGAACAGTCGCGCACCGAAAACGGAGGTTTTACCCTCCAAGTGCCAGACCTGGCCTCTCCACAACCCAACAGGTTGGGTTGACTGCCAGGCTCAAAGAGCGGATGAAGCAAGCAGGAGAACATCAGAACCATTCCTAAGGTTTGTTGTCCTTTGCCGCCTTCTCGCTCCCTTTGCCGGCATTCTTCGCCTTGGCTGCCTTTTCCTTGGCTGCCTTCGCCTCCTCTTCTTCCTTTTTCTTGCGGTCTTCTTCCTCTTTCTTCTTGCGTTCTTCCTCATCTTTTTTCTTGCGCTCCTCTTCCTCCTTCTTCCGCTGTTCCTCACGCTCCTTTTCTTTTCGTTCTTTCTCGGCGAGAATGCTCTTCTGTTCGGCTTCCGAAAGTTTGCTCCAAGCGGCCACGTTTTCGTCCCCTATGTAACTTGTCAGTTGAACCTGTCGGGAAATCATAATCTGGGGGAAGCAAGTTGGACTTACATTTCTTGACACACTCGTCAACCCAGTTACACTGTTCGACCTCACCATATGCCGGATGCTTATATCTCGGGTGGCGGCTGGGCCAGTTCGAAGCGTGGTAGTGGTGCTTTACCAGGGCGGCGCGCGCATCATGGTTGCCCGAGTTGGAGTGGCCCTGGCCAGCAGCAAAGGCCTCGACGGTCAAGACGAGAACTCGACTGACAAGCTTGGATTCTCCCAAATCGTGGAACGCGTCCCAGGTGATCGGTCTACCCGGGTTCTCGTTGGCCTCGTTCATCTCGGCGATAATGGCGTTGGTGAAAGCTGATGGGCCGGTTCCGCTGATAATCTGGTCGAAATCGAGCTTCACTTCGGCAAGTGGCACTCCTTGCTCCTTAGCAACCCCGCTCAGCCAGGTCATGATTTGCTCAATCAGCCTCATCATGACTGGAAGTTGCGGCTTGCACATGAAGGTCCATTGGCAGAATGACCGCGACTTGGGTCCAAGAATGGGATGGTCCTTCCAGTCGGGCTCGTCGATTTCGACGCCAATGACCATATCGACATCAGCGTCGTCGTACCGCTCCGGGACGAATTTCGAAAGCGGCTTGAGTGCTTCAACGTCGATGTCGGCATATAGACCGCCCTCGGCGTACATGACCAAGTATCGCAAGAGATCGGCCTTGACAATCGCGGCCTTGACGCTCCGGTAGAAGTTGACAATGTCGGGGCGGTTGAATCCGTCGGGGCCAAAGTGCCACTCGACGTACTGCATGTCGTTGCCGTCGGTAAGGACTTCGTATCGGTACGAGGGGTTCTGTCCTACCCAGGACCGCGCGGTATCGAGATCGCGTTGCTCAAAAGCGAGCGGGTTGACTTTCCAAGTCTGCCATATCTTCCGTGGGAACTCGGCGCGTGTGTACTTGGGAATATTGTGCTTGGTCGGCACATGAGGAAGAACGAATGTTATGTCTTGGACACCTGAGTGAAAGAGTGTCACGTTCAGGAGAAAAAGGACAAAAACGACGACTGCGATGTAGAGAGGCGCGCCGCGCCGAAATTGGGTCGGCAAACGATTTCGGAATTGCGCCGTTGTGGCAGCCAACTTGGGGGAGCCCAACGGTGATACCAACTTGGCGATCATCGCGGGCAGGTGCACCAGTCTGCAGCCCTTGAAGCGAGTGGCATCAACTGAAGGAAACGCGACGAAAAAATGGCGGCGAGAGTTGGCGAGTAGAAGATGGGAGCGAGTGAAACAGGGACCAAAGGGCGAGAAGGAGGGGAGAAAAAATTGGCGCCCTCAGAGTTGATGAGGTCCCGGTGAGGATGCGGAAGAGGAGCAAAAGGCCGAAAGCATCAACAAGGTCCCGTTTTGGCTAATCAAGCTTATCACTTGCCCGGTCGCGCGTCTGTTGCAAAGATTACCCTGGGAATGCCTCGAGGTCGCGGCGATTTGTTCCATCGAGGAAGCCAGCTCGACAGGGGCGTGCCTGCCAGCCACCAATCATCCGGCAAAGCAAACAACTCTTCCATCCCAAGTACAAAAATGGTGCGGACGAGAAGGAATTGGATTTCGAATAGGGTTTCGGCTCTGGACCGATCATTGTCCCGTAATCGACCAGTCACAGTGGATAGAGATCGACCCAGGGTCTTCCCCGGCAACGGAAATCCACTGTTTCTGCGGAGACTGATTGCCAACATCAAGACAAGCAATCCCGACCATCGAAAAAGACCCCTGGTCGCAACCGGTGGATTGGACGAAATATTGGGGTGAATGGGGGCACGGAAATTCGATATCAGATGCTGTGGCAGAGACAAACTTCGAGGCGCGAACGGCGCGAAAGGACGCATATCTCATTCCTTATCATGTCCCGCAAGCGATCCGAGCGGTGTCGTGGGGCATGCATTTCAACGGAATGGCGCCCGGGGCTGAAGTATGACAAACATGGGAATGAATGTGCGTCTGATTGGATTGGCTGTGCACCTCTGTGTTAGTGATAGTGGCTTCTGGAGGGTGTGAATGAGACCATCTCCTGTCCGACAAGATGCAACCCACCAATGTCGTACATTTTGTAGGACCAGTCTGTACCATGGAGCTCACCACGCGCCGCTATCATCCATAAAAGGCCGGCTTTCAAAATTCAGAATGAAGGCAGAAAGAAGTTGTCGCCATCAGCGCCGGCCCGTGCCGTCAACAAGACCATTGCGCTGCATTTCAAGAGACGTCCTCCCTTGGCCGTACGCTTGCATACCCGGATCGCCCGTTGCATAGCCGTATGCCGGCACTGAGACCCGTCTACTCGGAACACCGCGTCAGAAAGATGTCTTGATCTCCTTCCCTGGTCTCGATTTTGCTCCCTGGTAGGAGCGCGATTCGAGGACGGTAATTGAGCCCTATGATGAAATTGCTTACATCACAGTCGGAGTCAGGGCCGTGCTTTTAAGCTTTAACTCACCACCTCATGGGAACAATCGCCAACCTTGCGACCCTCATCCTCCCTCATGTTACCCCCACATTATCCATGGGACATGTCTGTAGGAACAAATTTATTGATAACGTTCGACATCATTCCAATATGTGTTGCGACTTCCATGTTGTCAGTGAATTCATGCAACCATGTCGTCGAGATATGCGATGATCAACCGGAGCGTGCCTGGCCCCTGCCCCTCCCGCTAGCGCGGCGCGCTAGGAACCAAAATGGAAGGTAACCCCGGTTTTCTCGTGCGCGTCCCCCATCGCGACGTCGGCGACCTTTTCATTCTTTCACTTTATCATTTTCTTTTTTTCCTCCACTGATCACGGTGAATCCCTTTAACGGTGCAAATTTATCATTTCGTGGGTCCTCCCCACAGATACCAGTAAGACTTGTTGACGTGGCCTGTCAGCTAAGCACTTCACCTACAGCACTAGTAAATGCTACCAAGGCTGGGGCGGTCGAGGTATCTGCAACCCCAAGATGTAGACCGCTAAAAAAAAGGGAGCCGCCGATTGGCTGGAAACCGGCCGCCCCACGAAATGATAAATTTGCACCGTTAAAGGGATACTCCGAACGCTGAACTATCGATCTGATTTGCTTTCCACAGACTCTCCTGTCACCCACATTGCTCTTGCGGTTCACTATCCACGTGCCGTCGCGTTATAAAGACCTCGTCCTACGCTCCAAAGGGTGACGGCCTCAGGGCGCCTGATGAGATGATTTTGGCGCATTCCCGTTGCGGTGTTCCAACCCGGGCGTCCAGTGCGACGCGACATGCTGGCACGAAACGAAGTATGTAAAGCTGCTGATCTGAGGAAACAAATCGCCAGCGCGATTGCATCCCTTTCCCTATCTAGTGTACCCGATGGAAACAAATTTCGTTCACCAGTTTGGAGTGTCTTGCGTTGTTGGCGTGCAAGTGCCCGGAACGTTGGGATACGGCATGACGGGAGCTGCGCATCACCACTCTGTCGATCGGCCGCCTCAATCACCCATCAGCCAAAATAACGCGAAGAGGGTCGGACAACTATCAATTATTGACCGAACGTACACACCGAAAGCCATCATGCCCACGCGGAACCAGCCGGCCATATTCGACCTAGCTAATCTTTCTACCCAAGTCGGGAAATCATTCCAAGACACGCGTTGTCTTCGCCTTTCATGTATTTAAGCACCATCGAAATTGACTTCGACCTCATCATCTAATTCTACCCTGGAGGAAAAGGGGGGTCAAATAACAGGACCCATAAAAGGTGTTAAGGTTTCAACAACAGCTTTAGTCTGCAACCATCTTGTACAATAACTTTGGCTACGAATGTGCTTGAAGCGTAAAAGCCAAGTTCGGTTCATTAGGAGTTTCTAGGTTATTACTCTGTTCTAAATGTAATGTTCTGTTCTGCTCTGTTCTACTCGCCTTTCAAGGCATTGTTATTTCTAATTTTCGCTCTCTCTCTCTTTCCATCTTCAGCCTCGCTCTTTCCAACTTTGCCCTCGCTCTTTCCTCCCACCATATAAACCCCAATTTCCCACTCCTCGCGCATACACACGCACACGCGTGAATATTTATAGTATGCCGTAGTGGTAGTAGTAGCCATAGATATTTCGTAGACTTTTAATTCGAATCGTGACTATGTTATTTCTTTCCGTGATTTTCTTATGTTCCAAAATGCCATCCAATATGATGCACCGGGATTGACAAGACCTTGGACTTTGGAGACGACCTTAGAGAAGATAAGACCTTGGAGAAAATAAGACTTTAGAATAAGAGGGATAGAAAACTTCTTTTTTTTCCCCAGCCAAAAACCTCTACAACGGAAGTACAACGGAACTTTTGTCTCAACGGTCGTTGGGTGAAATTTGCTGTTGAGTAGACAGTACATGTACAGGCGCAAATTTTTTAAGGTCCCGTTAGAGGCTTAACGTGACTTTCGCCAAGCTGTTGAACGCCCTGTTATTTGACCCCCTCTTCCCTCCAGGGTAGCACATCCTCTCGAGAGCAAAGCAGAGAACGCATATGAATATGAAAACGCAGCGTAGCACTGCTAGGCCCTAAATCAAGCGAGTAATGTCAGAGGCCAGGGGATTCACTAGGCGTGCACGTGCCTAGTTGGGCTGGAATATGCGGGATTTATCCAGATGCTAGAGCTTCGAGTCTGCAGAGCCAGTCTTATATATATATACAATTAAGCCACGTTGAACCCTATATCGATTATTACTAGTAATATTACAATTAAGAATCTTATTGATTTGACCGTTAAAGCTATCGCCAGTAACGATAACCGATTAAACGACTGCTAATAATGTCTACGATTAAAATTAATAGCGTTGTCCTCAACAGCCCTAGGGATTGGCCGGTTTGGGAAGATGCCTTTATTTCTATAGCTTAGGACCTAGGTCTTTAAAAGTATATCGACCCAAATAACTACGTTCCTTAGCCAATTAAATTAGTAGAACTTAATATTACTAATTATTAAAGAGAAGTTCCCACTAGGGAAATTAAAGAGATTAAGAAGGATAAGGAGGCTACCCTATTTATTATTATTAAATTTTACGGGTTTTATTATAAGCGCAACTATTATAATTATATAATTGAGAAGTTGGATTAGTATATAGAGGTTAAGACCTTTTTTGACTTGGGTATCAAGAAGATTACGCTAAATTGTTAAATATTTAAAATTATTAGAGATAATTACCAGGAAATTAATTTTATTAAATATATTAGTCTATATGAATAGTATAATAATTTTAGTAAATTTATTACTTTTAACGACTATAAGGTAAAGGAATTTATCCGAATTAAATTTATTAATATTTTTAAGCCCCCTAGTAGAATTAATTGTAATTGGTACAATTGGACTTTTTATTAGGAGGCGGCTATAGCTTTCTATATTATTAGAGGAATTATTGGAGTAGATAAATTAAACCTATAGTTCTTAAAATTCTATATAATTATAAAATCGAATCTTTATACCATTTAAGTAAATAATTATTAACTTTAGTATAATAAGGAAATCGAAAGAAACTTTAATTTTAAAATCTTTTTTCGTATTATAATTAAGGGTTTTCGTAAAATAATAATAGTAAATATTATTTAAAGAAAGGGTTGCGCCTCTTCATTTAAGGGTATTACGTTTGTAGCTACATTAAGTAGTAAATTTATTAAAGAAAACGCTCTTAGCAACGAATAAAATTTTGGCTCGGAGGTAGAAGGATAGGAAAAGGTTGTAAGTAAGAACGGTAAATTTAGGAAGAATATTAATAAAAATAAACGTACTTCCTCTTCGTCTTTGCTAGCGAATAAATAATTGTATCGATTTCTATATAGGTTTTATAAGTAGCCGGGTTATAATTTAAAGAAATATTATTACGTTAAATTATAATTAATTTATAAAGGTTAAATCGAAAGTCTTATTATTAAGAAGCGTACGTATATTAATTTAAAAAAGAATAAAATATTTAAAGAGGCTATTAATTATTTGCGAACGTAGTAGGACGATAAAGATTAAAATAATTAATTTTATAATTATTGGGTAAATCAAAGTAGTTTTTTAATACTTGTAATAAAATATAGCGTTATATATTTATTGAGAAATTTTTATATTTTTCGATTTAGGTACGATAATATATATTTTTAATAAGTTAATTACTTCGAAGATTTTACCCCTTTAAATATTAATAATTACGTATAGGTAGGAAATAAGTATATTTTTATAGAGGGGTATAGTACTATTATAATTACGGTTTAAGACGATAATGGAAATAGAAAGTTCTAATTCCTTAATATTGTTTTAATACCGGGTATAATTTATAATTTCGTTTCTTTCAAATAGTTTAAAGATAAATAAATCTATTAGGATTATAAGAATGATTGTTTGCGCTCCCGCTTTATAGATTCTTTTATTTATTATTTTTTTTTAAATATAAGTAATTTATTTTAGAATATATCCCTTTATAGAATAGCGTTGATGAATCTTCTTTTACTATATAGTATATAAATTATATTAAGTAGAAACTTTAAGAGGGTAAGTTTTTTTATTAGTATTTTCGATTTAGTTACCCGGGACCCGAAATTTTAATTAAATTAATAGAATAAGAATATAGCGTACGATTTAAAGGATTGGATATAATATATTGCGAATTATATATTAAAGTTAAACTAAAGTGTTAAATGTATAGAGAAATTCGTAATTATTTAGAGGGCTTTAGGTTACAATTAATTATTGACTTCTTTTTTTATAAAGAAATAAAGGTAGGGGGTTAGAAGTATTTAAATTTGATAGTAATTGTAAATTAGTAGTTTGGATTCGTTTAAGTATATTATTTAGATAATAGAGAAGCTGAATTTATTATTACATATTTAGAATCTTTCTATATAAGGTTATAGATTTAATATTAGATTTCATTTCGGGTAATTGAATACAATAATGAGATAATTAGTAGTAAGAAGATTACTATTTAGTTTATTATAAAGGGAATTAATATCGAGCTTTTAGCGCTTTATATATAAATTTAAAATGGTGGCGTAGAGCGTTTAAAGGGTATAATTAAAATTAAGAGTATAGTAATACGATTAGATATAAGTTTTCTTTACGAATTATGAATCGAAATTATTAGAGTAGTTATATATTTGTATAATTTGACCTTTAAAGCGGAATATTACTAGGAATTTCCTTAAGACCGATTCGAAACGTATTGTTAATTTAGAGACGGTATTATTCTTGTATTAAACTCCTCCC